TTCAATGTCTTCCCGATCATATGTAGCTAGGGGCTACCATGCTGGACAGCATACAGAACATGCTCATCAGTAAGTAAGTTCTGTTGGACAGTGCTGCCTATTAACTTATAATTTTGTTTTCACTTTATTGAGGTATAACCGATAAGTAAATTGTATGAATTTAAAGTATACAACTTGACGATTTGATTTATGTATATATTGTGAAATGATTACCACGATGAAGTTAGTTAACACATTAATCCCCTCACAGAGTTACCAGTCTATATATGTGTGTACGTTTAAGATCCGCTCTCTAACAAAGTCCAAGTATATAATATGGTAATGTTAACTACAGTCACCATGCTGAACATTAGATTCCCTTCCATTAATCTTGCACAGGTAAACTGAGACCTAACGCAGAAGAAACCTGCCCAAGGCCTAAGGGGAGTCAGTGACAGAGGCAAGAATTATAAATGCCCTTCATAAAATGTAAAATTGCATAAAAATATCTTCTTATATATACAGCTCAGTGTTCCACAACAACCTGGGATGGAAGGAGACAGGGCTCTAGTTGGGGCTGTGGATGGGGGGAAGGGAGGTGTGCTGTGTTTGTTTCTCTCCACTCCGCTCCCCAGGGCTGCCCCAGCCCTTCAGGATAAAGGAGGCTTAGAGGTCTGGAACTACTTCCCCTCCCCCATGATGACCTCATCCTCACAAAAATGTGTGAAGGGCAATGGGAGGGGCTTCATGGAGGGAAGCTAATGGAGGGGATTGTGGGTAGGGGAGATGGCACAGTCCTCAGGCCAAAGAAATTGGGGGTGGGGAGAGCTGTGCTGATCGTAACCATGCTCCATACAGCCGTCTTCCTAAAAGCCAAGTTTGAACCTATTACCCCATGCTTACACTCTTCTTGGAAAGGAGACCAAATCCCAACCAAGGACAGCAAGGTCTGTATGGCCTGGCTCCTAGGACCCTTAATCTCAGCTGACCCCAAACTCCCATCTCTTTGCTCTGTCTCTATTACTAGGTTTGCTTCCACCTCAGGACTTTTGCATTTGTGGTTCCTCAGCCTAGGACACTCTCCCTCTCAGCCCCAAGGAACTCCTACCCATCTTTCTGATCTCAGCCTAATCACAGCTTCTGGGAGAAGCCTTCCCAGAAGCCCCAGGCCAGGCCAGCTTCCTCTGTTATATATTCTTATACTGCTTCCCTTTGGAACACTCGTTTTGGCTTGTAATTACTCTACACATTTATTTGGGGGCTCTTCAGTAAATGTCTCGTTCCCCTAGCAGACCAAGCTCTCCACAGTCTGTTTCTGCTTATTGTTATATCTCTAAACCCTTGAGCAGTGGTTGGCCCAAAAGAGATGCTCAATAAAAATATGAGAAATAAATGAAATGATTGAATGGAAGTGTTGCTTCCTGCAAGAAACAAGCTCCTCAAAGTCCATGCCCACTCCAACTGGTCCATCTCATTTGGACCCAGTGTGGGTGGTGCATGTACCCTCTACCCACCCAGAGAGGGAAAGGAGGGGAAGGAATCTGCCCTGGAGGTCCCTGGAGACAGCAGAGGTGGTCAGGAGAGCAGGAGTGTCAGGATATTGGATGAGGAGTAAAAACAGTGGTGGAACCCACAAGATGACAACTGGGAGATGGTGGAAACAAACTGAGAGCAATGTGGTCTAATCTGGCAATAGGATGCCATGGGATGACTGAATAAAACAAGATCCTGGGATGTACCAGAATGCGTGTGTAACAGGTAAGCTGGTTTTAATCCAAAGTCACTGTGGAAGTGACTGGCAAAAATCAAAACAAGGAATGGGAAACATTTATTGAGCACTTACAGGGCATCAAGTCCTTTCCACATACCCAAGTATTCCCATAGATTAATCTTTATGACAACCCTGTGAAGTAGGCACTATTGCCATCTCCATTTGACAGAAAAAGAAACCAAGGTGCAGAGAGATTAAGTAACTTGTTCAGGTCACATAGCAGGTAAAGGTGGATAAAGATTATACTTTGGAGGTTGCTCTTACTTTCTACATCATATCATCCCCTTCTGGTGAACAAAATGGTTTCCAAAGTGATTGTGGCTGCAGTGGTCTATGATTTGCGTGGGAAGGCGGAAGAGCAAAGAGAGACATGGAAAGGGGTATTGGAACATTCCCTTCCACGTTCCCCACTGCTTGGTTCTTCCCTTCTTCTGCTCACTGGTACACCTTTTTCCCCCACGTTAGTCACAGTTATTCTTACTTCTTCCCTGCAAAATGCCAGAGAGGCTAAATCAAACCACACAATAAAGAAGCAAGAGAGAGAAAGGCTTTTCTGGCCAAGGAGAGGACTTTGAGGAGATGGGGTATAGATGAGGGAGAAGCCCAGACAGCTGAGGTCTGTGACCAACACAGAAGGGTTATTGTAGGTTGTAAGATCTTTTGAGAGATGAAACATTGGGGAACTTGTTCATTCTTTTTGGTTTCTGGAATATACCTTATTTTTAAATGGTGGCTCCTTGCATACACTGGGTCACATGAGCCCTGCAATTGTCATTTGGATTAAACCAGAGCACGCAGATCAGATGGTGATGGTCAATAATGGGGTCTCTCTTGCCTGGGTGAACTGGTGGGACTTCCAGGCTAAAGTTTGGAGAGAGTCCCTTCCTATTACCTTGAGCCCACCAGGTCCTAAAGGAGTCACAGACAGTACCCCAAAAGGGAATGGTAGCTCAGCCCAGATCCCCAGCTGTGGCAGTTCTTGGAGTAAAGTGAGTTCCCTGGCTCAGCATGGTATTGCTCATCTTGTTGTAGGCAAACCTCTTAGAAAGTGAGGATGAAAGAAATCTGGCTAAAGAGCAGGCACCCACAACAGCTTCCCAGAGAAATAGCCCCTCCAAGGGACACTAGCCACCCATGTAGTCTCCATCTCACTCCTATGAACTAGTTCACTTCCCACATTACCATAAGCCTCACCCTCTTTCCCTAGGGTGCCTTCTGTGACTACTCTTTGTCCCTGTTTTCTCAGACCAATAGCCCTCCCCTCATCTAAATCATTGTGGGGGGCATGCACCCCCCCAAGGGAACAGATGACTTGGTAGCTCTACCCCATTCTTAAATATTCAGAGAAAAGATCAATCCCAGAACTCTGTGCTCCCCGTCCTTGAGCCCACTGAGCTCCCTTCTGCCCATCCGCTGAGGGCGAGGGCAGGCATCTGCTGCAGGCTCAACCTCTGAGTCTGTGTGGCTGCATACCAGACCTTGTCAGTACTCTCTCCTGTCTCCCCAGGCATGGAGGAGGGCAGAAGACAGCCTCAACATCTGGATTCTTGGGAGTTTGGGGAAAGATCCACTATATCCAAGTTTATGGTCTCAAAGGCTTCAGCCCTTATCTTCCAGAGCTTGGAATGTTTCCATTCACTGTCTGCCTTCTCACTCATCTCTGTCTTGACCTGTTTCTGTCGTTAAGAAGGTTGAGAATATGGAGTACCTGGGTGGCTCAGCCAGTTAAGCATCCGACTTCAGCTCAGGTCATGATCTCATGGTTTGTGAGTTTGAGCCCTGTATCAGGCTCTGTGCTGACAACTCAGAGCCTGGAGCCTGCTTTGGATTCTGTGTCTCCATCGCTCTCTGCCCCTCCCCTACTCATGCTCTGTCTCTGTCTCTCTCAAAAATAAATAAACATTTTTTTTTTTAAAAGTCTCTTTAGGAAAAAAAACAGAAAAGAAAAAGGTTGAGAAGAGGGAGTGGGGAAGGAACCCCGGTGCCTCCCTGGCTAGAGTTACAAGCCCAGGGATATTCCCGCTTGTAGCTCTCAGTGACCCTAGAATTACAATTCTCTTTGCCCTACTGTGCTCAGGCTACAGAAACCCTTTGAATCTGCCCTGTCCTCTCAGTGACAAATTGTGGGGTCAAAGAGAGAAACACAGTTACAGACAGAGGTAGAGAGAGAGGTGGGGCAGAAAGAGAGGCAGACACACAGAGAAAAACCACAAGATTCAGAGTGAAGAAAGACAGAAATGTACTCATAGGAAGAGAGAAAGACAAAAAATAAAAGAGAAATAAGAAAAACAGAGAAATAGATATGGGATATGTGTGGCAGAGAGAGACCAAGAAAAAGAGAAACTGAGAGAGCCAGGGAGAAAGAGAAGGAAGATACAACTCAGAGACCAGTGTCTTCACCCGCTATGAAAGGGGTGAGCCAGTTATAAGAAATAGGGTCTGGGGAGAGGGCTGGGTCTCCCTTTCTGCAGCTCTGCCCTGACCGTCTTACTCAGGTGTCCTCAGCGTGGAGTCACTGAACTTGGATGGGAAAAAAAATATTATATTATTTTCACTAATCTCTAGCTGAAATTTAGCATTTCCTTCAGTTACGACAGTAGCAACAAACCAGTCACATTAGCCATAATTATGGCTTTGTCACCAATAAAAATCACTTATATTTTTGTATCGTATTACAGTATTGCAGATATTTTGAAATATCATTTATGCTCCTCATTGCTTCAAAATTATGTGAGGAATCAACCTACTGCTAGATCTTATTTAAAGCATTAATAAAGAAGCACATACATTACTATATCACATTAAAATAGCTTTACGACTGTATTACTTTATAATTGGTTTCCTTTGTAATCCTACATATTTCATTTTACGCATTTTAAAACATTATGCTGAGATTGGTTACATAGCTTTTGCCAGATTGCCAAAGGGGAACTTGACACAGAAAAGGTTCAGAACTCCTGCATCTGGCCCCTGACTGAGACCCCCTCCAAACTATCCTTCTAAACTCCCTGTGCCCTATAGTTATCTACTCAATTCCCTTTTGTTGCTGGGTTGCTGGGAAATGTGGGAGAGGAAGGGAGCTAGGAGCCGGGAGAGGAATGAAGGAGAGAGGAAAGGAAGGGAGGTTGGGAGGAAGCATTTCATACCACTATTATGCAGTAGAAGGAAAGTTCATCAAGGGTGCAGGGATAACTCTTGAGTCAAGGTCAGCTGTCAGAGGAATTCCCTTATTTCCCAGGAATGGGCCTACCTCAGGATCTCTGCTGAGTATGGTCATTGGATGAGAGGAGCCCCGTGGGAAGCTGGCCTTAAACTGTGAGCTGATGGATTCCAGAAAGCAGCAGCTAAGGCCTTTGGTCAATTTTCAGTCTTTATAGTTGAAGTCATCTATGAAGAGCATTCTCTTGGCCCTACAGTTGCCCATCCAGAGAAATGTCTCCTTATCTGTAAAATGGAGGTGGTAAAATCCCCTATTTTAAGAGTTGTTGTGAGGATTAATGGAAATTGGCAAAGCAATAGTTGTACAGGGCCTGGGACAGAGTCAGCTCTCAGTAAGTGGTAGCCATTACTATGGTCATTTTAATGATTAATTATTATTATCATTCTCTTTCTCAGAGAGAAGAGCTCCAGGAGGCTGAAGATGGCAGATCTTGTCAAAGCCAGGGCAGCTGGGAGAGGGGTACCACTTCACACTCCCCTCACCTTCTGCTGAGGCAGGGGTCTTCCCCTAGCTTTTGACAGACTCTGAGTCTGCTGACTCACAGTCAACTTCCTCTCATACAAACAGGAAAACACAGCCAGCCAGTGGTGTCCACCTCCCGTCCGCTCCCCCCCCCCAACCACCGCCACCACCACACATAGCTGAACACTAGCCCAACTCTGAGGGGGAAGTGCCTCAGACTCTGGGGGACAGGCTTCAAAGGCTAGGGCTACAGGCAAGACTGGGGAAAAGGAGAGGAGCCATTTCTCCTCTGGCAACACCCCCATCCCCCTACATCCACCTCCACCTCAGGAAAGAAAAAAAAAATGCAGTTAGAGGAGGATGAAGAGAAGGGGCTTCTCCTAAGGAAGAAAAGACTTCTTGCTGGGTCACTGTGCCTGCAGGGCGCCAGGCTTATCCCCTAAAAGGCAGCCCCAAGCCTGGTGTGGAAGTATGGGAGTAGAAATGTTGCCTTGCTGACCTTCACGTCTGGGAAGAAACCTAGGCCTGGCCCTTGTGGGAGGAAGAAGCAGGCGGGAACTCTGCTGGGCATCCGCCCCTATTCCCTCACGTCAAACTGCTGGGCTCCTGAAGGGCTCTCCACGTTGGAAGGCTGTGGCTATCCGTGACTTCCGGATGCCAGCTTCCCTTCACTCCTTAACTGGTTGCCAGGGTCCAGCCACGATGCTGGGCGTGGGACAGGGACTGCCACCCTGGGGGGCTTACGGCCGACCTCTTTCCACCCTCTTTTGGCACGACGGGGAGGGAACAGCAGAAGGGATGCAAAGCTGTGCTCCACGGCGCTCTCCCTTTCCGCTTGAGTTCTACCTCTGTCACATCTCCGTTCTGGTCTCTGCCCCTTTGTCCCTCTCTCTAAGGCTGTCTTGGCCTCTAGCCCTGTTCCGGTCCCTTTCTCGGCCCCTAAGAGGTCAGAGCTGCCCAGGCCCCGAGATAAGCGCAGCGGTTGGGTAAGGAGCCCAAACCTTTTGAAGGCTGGCGCTTGCACAAGGAGTGGCTGGGGGCCCGCGAAGGGAACCGGCCGGCGGGGCGGGGCGGGGCCGGGCCCGTCGGGGGAGGGCTGAGGGGAGGCGGGGCCCGCGCTGCGCGACCCGAGTCTCGGACGGCGCGGCAGGCACCGGGAGCGGACCGCGGCCGCGTAGTGAGGTGAGGACCCCCGCGCCCACGGGCCCCTGCTTCCCAGACTCCTCCCCGTCCCCTCCTCGAGGGCCCCGTCCGCGCCGGCGGCCCTCCCCGGCCCCCCTCCCCGCGGTGACCCGCCCCTCCCTCCGGTGGCCCGGCCTCTGCCCCCTCCCTCCTTGCCCCCTCCCTCGTCGCAGCCCGCGCGGCCCCGCGCTGCCCGGCCCGCCCCCCCTCCTCCCCTCCCGCCCCCCCGGCACTCCAGCCCCGCGCACCTCCGGGTTCCCAGTCCCGTGCCCTCGGGCTGGATCTGAGTCACTGGGAAACTGGGCTCTGAGTCAGGCCCTAACTAGCTTGGGGCCGGGGCCCAGCTGCGGAGAGGCAGAAAGGATAGAACTGATGCTGGGGCGAGAGGGAGTCCTGGTCGGGACCCCACAGGGAGAAAGTGGGAGAGAGCCTTACAGGCAGAGCCAGAGAGACAGAAATCTGGAGTCACATACAACTAAAGGTCTAGTTGAAATTGGAGACTGAGGCAAGGAGGGGCTTAATGACAGAGAGCAAAAGACGGAAAGGAACAAAGATGGATTTAGACAGAGGTAGTGGCAGATGGAGTGGGGTGGAGAAAGGGACAGGCAGAGAGAAAACTCCAGGGAGACAAAATCTGAGACAGGTCCAGAGAATAGACCAGGGTCAGGGTCAGGATGGCAGAATGGGACAGAGCCTCAGAGACTTGAGCCCAAGGGCATGGGCAGGGAAAGGCAAAGCTCAGCAGAGGAAGATTTGGAGAAAGCGGAGGTAGGAGGATGTCATTTCACACTCCTGAGTCGCTACAGGGACCTGAGTCGCTACAGGGAGAGGGCTCACGTATGCATGCTCCTGTGTGAACATGCTTCAGGTTGGTGGAAGGTGAAGACCCTGGAGTACCCCTGGCCTCTGGGCCCTCCTCTTTCCGCCCCAATTCTCACCCTATCCCCATTCCCCAAGTGGCCTCTTCCCACGGCCAGGACCCTAGTTGCTGAGACTGGTTAGGGCTCTCTGGGCAGCCTGACCAAGGCAGACAGGATGTGGGGGCGGCCAGGGCTAGAGGGACAGGAAGGAAGTCTGAGCAGAGACAATAGGTGGAAGGGGAGGAGGAACTGGGAATGACCAGGATTAGGATGGCCGAGCCTGTACCTCAGCTCTGAAAACCAGGGGGAGTGGGATCTGTACCTCTTCTCTCCTCCTGTGCCACAGCTGCCCCTGTATCCACCTTAGGCCACATCATGTGGCCTCTCTTCCCCACCATCACACTCCATCTTGCCCCAGCAGGCTTCTGTCATCTTGTCCCATGCTGACTTGGTTGAGTGTGCAATCAAGCAGAGGCAGACCTTTGATCCAGGCCTAGGGAGGTCAGGAGCTTGAGGGCCAACACTTCCACCAATTTGTTGTGAGCCTAGGGCAAGCCTCTTTCCTTCTCTGGGCCTCAGCGTCCTCATCTGCAAATGAAGGGATCCCTCTATAATAAGAAAACCCTTTCTGATGTTCTGGGACAGCTCTTCCTCCAGATTGCTGGCCACTGGTCATTTTTCTTTGGAGGAAGACAAGTCTGGTACCTACCCCCTGTCCAGGCCTCAGACTTTGGGACAGGGAGGGGGAATCTCAGCCTGAGCCCTCCCTTCACCCTGCCGCTCCCCCCAGCAATGGCCTGAGCCCCCATGGCTGCCCCTCAGGACCTGGACATCGCTGTGTGGCTGGCCACGGTGCACCTGGAGCAGTATGCAGACACGTTCCGAAGGCATGGCCTGGCTACAGCGGGTGCAGCCCGGGGCCTGGGCCACGAGGAGCTGAGGCAGTTGGGCGTCAGTGCCACAGGTCACCGGAAACGCATTCTGCGCCTGCTGCAGGCAGGTGCTGCAGAGGGCTCCCTGGATTCCCAGTTGGACAGTGCCATGGAGCCATCCCCTAGCCTAGCCCCCCAAGCCCAGCCCCCCAAGCCTGTGCCTAAGCCCAGGACCGTATTTGGTGGGCTCAGTGGTCCTACCACCACCCAAAGACCGGGAGTGAGTCCAGCCGTCTGGAGACCAGAAGTGTCCAGGAGCCTGGAGTCCAGCCCGAGGTCCCCTCCTCTCCCCACCTCCTCCTCTGAGCAGACTTCAGCCTTGAATACTGTGGAAATGATGCCAAATGCCATCTACTTTGGCCTGGACTTAAGAGGCGGGGCACAGACAACTCAGGACATGTGAGTGGGGTTGGCTCCCTTGGGATCCATTGCTGGGTGGGGGCAGGAAGGAACAGGACATGAGGGTTTTTCCTCTCTCCTCTCTCCCTTAATGATCACTAGACCTTTTCCCTCAGGGCCCCAGATGGCTCCCAGGCAGCTGCCCCTACCCCTGCCCTCAGGCCCACAACAGGCACAGGTAGGTGGGTTATCGTGGGTTGTGGGGGAGAGAGAGACAGGTCCCTTCAGGACCTGAGACCCTCCCACCTGACCTCTTCTTCCTTGTCTCCCCCATTACCTTTCCTGCCAGTACACATCATGGACCCTGGTTGCCTGTACTACGGTGTCCAGCCTGTGGGGGTCCCAGGGCCACCTGACAGAAGAGAAGGCAGAGCTGTCTGTCAGGACAGGGCTGAAAACAGGTGAGTAGTCAGTAGGGTGGTGATGGCAGGAAGAGGGAAGCTTGAGGAACAGTTTAGGGGTGGCCATGTATCCAGTTATTCATCAAGTGTGTATTGAGTGTCCACTGTGTGTCCGCCAGGTACTCAAGATACAGGAGGACTATGGCAGACCCAGTAACCCCCCTCAAACCTCTTGTGACTCAGTGGGGCAGACAGGAAATAAAACAAGTTGACAAACAGATGGATATATAATTTAAAATACGGAGAAGTACTTTTCACACTTTCATTTAACAAATCTTTATGGAGCACCTACTGCATCCCTGAGGTTGTAGATACTTGAGATAGATCAGAAATCACTGCCCCTGTAGGGAGATAGTCAAATAAAAATAGGTATAATAAATAAGTTACATCATATGTTAAAAGGTGTTAAGTGCCATGGGAAAAAATAGAGCAGGGTAAGAAGGCTGGGATGGAGTGAGGGGAAGAGGGGTGTAATTTTTCATTAAGAGTTGTCAGAGTGTTTTCAGATGACACTTGAGCAAAATGAAGGGGGTGAGAGAGTTGATCATGACACTCTCTGGGATAAGTGTCCCAGGCAGGAGGAAGTGGCTAGAATAGAGGCTTCCAGGTAGACCCAGGACTGGTGACAAGGCCAGTGGGGCTGGAGTAGAGTGGCCAGGGCAGGAAGTGTGGGAGGAGATGATGTCAGAGAGAGAAAAGGAGCTCCATCAGGTAGGACCCTGTGGGGACTTTCGCTTTGACTCTAAGGGAAATGGGAAGCCACCGGCAGGGTTTTGAATACATTTTAAGAATCCCTCCGGTTGCTACGTTGGGAATGGCTGTAGGAGCAAAAGCAGAAGCAGACAGACCAGTTACGAGGTTACTGCAGTAATCTAGATGAGACATCTCAGACTAGGTGGTGGTAGTGGAGACAGTAAGAAGTGGTTGGATTTGGGTTATATTTTGAAGGCAAACTGTCCTAGTAAATTGGGGTGTGAGAGAAAAGAGCAGTCAGGACTGACCTCAAGGATTTCAGTCTGAGCTGCATGGCCCCGTGTGGTAGCCACTAGCCACATGTGCCTACTGGACACATGAAATGTGGCTAGTCTGGAGTAAGATGTGCTTTAACGTACCAGATTTGAAAGACTTAGTATGAAAAAAAATCAGTACTGGATGAATATGACAGAAGTAGACATAAAATATCTTAATTTTTATACAGATGACATAATAAAAGGTTAATATGTTGGGTAGGTTGGATTAAATAAAATATATTAGTTTCACTTGTTTCTTTTTACTTTTTAACGTGGCTACTAGAAAATCGAAAATTACATTTGTGGTTCTCATGCCGACTTCTGTGGACAGTGCTGTTTGAGCAATTGAAAGTTCCTGGGGTTGCTCTCATCTGACATGGGGAAACTGTACACAAAGCAGGGGGTGGTGGGGAGATCTGGAGTTCTGTTTTGGATGTGCTGAATTTGAGGTATACATTATAAGCCCAAGAAGAGATAACACATAGGCCAGTGAATATACAAGCCTGGAGTTCAGGGGAGAGGTCTGAGCTGGAGATCTAAATTTGTGAGTTTGTGGCATCTAGTGGGTATATGTAGCTATAAGTGAGTGTCGACAGAGCAGAGAACCATGATCAGAGTCCGGGCATATCCCCTATATCAAGAGGTTTGGGAGAAAAGGAAGAACCAGCAAAACAGACTAAAAAGAAATGAGTAGTAAAGAGAAGGAAAACCAGAAGAGTGTAATGTCATAGGAGCAAAGTGAAGAAAGGAGATGGGGGAGGTCAGCAGTTCAAATGGCGTTCGGAGGTCAAGAAAGACAAAGACTGAGAAATGGCCTCTGGAATTGGCAACGTGGAGGTCACTGGGGACATTGACAAGGGGTAGAGGTGAAAGCCAGACCAGAATAGTCTCAAGAGATAACAGAAAGAGTTGGAATGTACAGATGACATTTTTGAGGCATTTTTCTGCAAAAAAGAGCAGAGAGTTGAGTGGTTGTTGATAGTGGAAGTAGAGTCAACAAATGATTTTTGTAGGAGGGAGTGTTACATATGTTTATAGATGGATTGCAGGGATCTGGTAGAGAGGGAGAATTAGCTGCTGTCAGGGAGGGGAAGGGGAGAAAGTCTGGAACAACATCCTTGTGTCGGTGAGAGGATGGTGCACAGAGGAGGGACTGTTTTCAGACAGGGATGTTTATGACAGCAGCAGAAGGAATGTAAAGTATGTGTGAAATTGGGTAGATGAGGCACTGGGAGTTTGTGGGGGTTCTTACCTGATTGCTTCAATTTCTTACTGAAGTAAGAAACAAATAGGGTACAGTGATGGTTCTCAACCTTAGCTGCGCTATAGCCTGGGGAATTGAGGGTTTTTTCCCCGTTTATTTACTTATTTTGAGAGAGAGAAAACACACAAGTGGAGAAGGGGCAGAGAGAGAGGGAGACACAGAATCTGAAGCAGGCTCCAGGTTCTGAGCTGTCAGCACAGAGCCTGACACGGGGTTTGAACTCACAAACTGAGATCATGATCTGAGTTGAGTCGGACACTTAAACAACTGAGCCACCCAAGCGCCTCCCCGCCCTTTTTAAAAATTTTTTAATGTTTATTTATTTTTGAGAGAGACAGAGCATGAGTGGGGGAGTAACAGAGACAGTCATTTGCATTTTAAAGGAGTGTTCTGGTAGTGGTGGAAAATGATGTCCAATGGAGGGCATCAGTGGAAGCAGGTGACCAGTTAGGCAACTCACATCACCCTAGTGAGAACTGATGGGAATTGGTACAGGGAGAGAAAGTCAAGCACTTTTTGGAGAAAGAACCAAGAAAGACTTATTGATTAGATATTGGCAACTGTGGCAGAAAGCCAGCTACACAGCCTTTCCCTAACTCTTCTACCAAGTAATACTAATGGCAAAGGGGAGGGACTGAAATTTTTCCAATAAAAAATCCAAGCGTGCTCAGGGAAGAGGCTCTATGCTAATCTTTTGGGTTCCCAACCTCCCTATTTCCCTGTCTGAAAAGTGATCCAACCATTCTGTGAAGTGCTGTGGGTGGGGGTGTCTAGGGAACTGGGTCTAATGTGTGTTCTCTCTTGCCCCACATAAGGCTCAGCAGGCAGGATCTGGAAGCACGGGAGGATGCTGGCTATGCCAGCCTTGAGCTGCCTGGGGATTCCACCCTCTCACTGCCCACTCTGGACATGGAGATGAATGATGACCTCATTTCACCCTATGCCAGCTTCTCTTCCACAGCAGACCGCCCCACACCCCTGCTCAGTGGATGGCTAGACAAGCTCTCCCCTCAGGGGTGGGGCTACTGGGGAGGGAAAGGGAGGGTAGGGAGGAAGAAGAGGGAGGGTAGGTGGTGGTATGGGGGGGTCAGGTCCCAGGTACTCCCAGACCCTAGGAGCCCTCAGGATACAGCCTCCACCACTCACTCATCTTGGCCCCTGCCTTCCCAGAAACTACGTTTTCCAGAGGCGCTTTGTGCAGTTCAATGGCAGGAGTCTGATGTACTTTGGCAATGATAAGGTGGGGGTCTGGAAGATGCTATGTTGGGCCTAGGGAAAGAGAAAGGGAGGGGGAGGGCTGAGAAAGCCTCAGGACTGGAAGATGGGAAGCCCATGGTGGGGGGGTCACCACATGACTGATGTCAGCTTCTAAAGTAGCTAGGTTAGCAGCTGTACCCCACTGCGTGTGGAATGAATGCTGATCTCGTTAAAAGTTGGTGCTGGCCCCCGGTTCAGCACACAAGGCTGACTTGCTGTCCCTTTGGGTCACTGGGCTGTCTCTCCAGGATCCCTTCCCCAAGGGTGTGATCCCTCTGACTGCCATTGAGATGACCCGCAGCAGCAAGGACAACAAGTTCCAGGTCATCACTGGCCAGAGGGTGTTTGTGTTTCGCACAGAGAGTGAGGGTGAGAATCAGGGCCCTACTGTGTCAGGGTGGGGGCAGGGAGGCCATGTGAGCACACAGCTGCTGGCTAACCTGCTTCTCTGTCCCCCACCAGCCCAGCGGGACACATGGTGCTCCACACTGCAATCCTGCCTGAGGGAGCAGCGCCTCCTGGGCCACCCCCGGCCCCCTCAGCCGCCCCGACCCCTCCGCACAGGCATGCTGGAGCTTCGCGGACACAAGGCCAAGGTTTTTGCTGCTTTGAGCCCTGGAGAGCTGGCCCTGTACAAGAGTGAGCAGGTGAGAAGGACCTGACCGAGGCCAAGGAGCCTGGCCTAGCCCATTCTAGCACCTCACTGAACCTGCTCCAACCCACACAATCTCACCAGGCCTTTTCTTCGGGCATCGGGATCTGCTTCATTGAACTGCAAGGATGCAGCGTAAGGGAGACCAAGAGTCGCAGCTTTGATCTGCTCACGCCCCATCGCTGCTTCAGGTGGGGCCCAGACTGGCAGGAGGCAGGGATGGAGGAGAGACATTTTTTTAAAAGTTTATTTATTTATCTTGAAAGAGACAGAGAGAGAGAGGGAGGGAGAGAGAGAGAGCAAGTGGGTGAGGGGTAGAGAGAGAGGGAGAGGGAGAGAGAATCCCAAGCAGGCTCTGCACTCTTGAACCCACAAACAGGGAGATCATGACCTGAGCCTAGTCAGACACTTAACTGACTGAGCCACTCAGGTGCCCCTGGGGGTGAGACTTTTGAAGGAGGCCCAGGGTGGGCAGAGGACTGGAGGCCTCTTCAGTAGGACGTCAGTGGGTGTGCACTGATGGAATTCTAGTGATCAGGGTCAAGGTCTCAGGAGGGTCTGGGCTGGCCCAGATGTGGCCTGCGGTGGTTCCTGCAGGAATGGCCAGTGGGATAGGACAGGTAGGAAGGGGTATCCATGCCCACAGACTGGCTGTCCACCCCTCAGCTTCACAGCCGAGTCTGGGGGTGCTCGGCAGAGCTGGGCGGCCGCTCTGCAGGAAGCAGTAACCGAGACCCTGTCTGACTACGAGGTGGCTGAGAAAATCTGGTCCAATCGGGCAAACCGGCACTGTGCGGACTGTGGCGCCTCCCGCCCAGACTGGGCTGCTGTCAACCTGGGGGTGGTCATCTGCAAGCAGTGTGCAGGTGAGGGCTGGGGTCTTAAGCTGAATCAGGGAGAGGGAGGAGGGACTGGGGCTGGCTCTGGGTATCTATACCACATGCTCTTCACACCCTAACAATAGGTCAGCACCGAGCCCTGGGTTCTGGGATCTCCAAAGTACAGAGCCTGAAGCTGGACACAAGTGTGTGGAGTAATGAGATAGTGCAGGTGAGGAGTCTCAAGAGGGAGAAAGTGGGAAAGATGGAAGAAAAGCATCGAAAAGAGGCTGTGGGCCCAGCTTAGGGGCAGGATTGAAATGTCTGAGAACTCTTGATTTCCTGTCACTTGCCTCTGCCCCTTGTCATCCTACAGTTGTTCATTGTCCTGGGAAATGATCGCGCCAACCGCTTCTGGGCAGGGGCATTGCCCCCAGGTGAGGGGCTGCATCCAGATGCAAGCCCTGGCCCCCGGGGAGAGTTCATCTCCCGGAAGTACCGACTGGGTCTCTTCCGGAAGCCCCACCCTCAGTATCCAGATCATGGACAGCTTCTCCAGGTAGGAGGGACAGGTTGTGACTGACGGAGGAGAGCATTCTCTGAGTTGAAATGCCTAGACCTGGCGTGAGGTTGGGGCCATTTTTGATGACTGGAGGACTGTCCCCACACTGTCAGGTTGGATCTTGGGGCTGACAGAGGCCCTTCCCCTTCTGTAGGCACTGTGTGCAGCTGTGGCAGGACCCAACCTGCTGAAGAACATGACCCAGCTCCTCTGTGTTGAGTCCTCTGAGGGCGAAGAGCCCTGGTCCCCCTCAGCACCTGATGGCAGCTTCTCTGGTCTCCCGCTCCCAGGTAATCCCCAGAAGGACCTCCTTTCTCATCCATCCCCTAAGAATTCTCAACCCTGACCTGTGCCTTGATTGTTCCAGGGAGTCCCGTGTACCCTTTTCCTCATCCCATCAAATGGCCCAGTCTGGGTAGTTTCCCAACCTTCTAGATCCTCTGAGGCACATATCCTGATGTCACAAAATGAGCAATGGCGGCCACTGCCCAGGATAGATCTGGGTGTTTGAGGTGTTAGTGCTGGTGAACCCCTAACAGGGTCAACCCATAGGGGAGATCTCATTTCCCTGGGGGAAGTCTGATCATAGAAACTATCATCTAAAGAGGTTTTTCTCCAGGGGTCAGGCCAGAGGGGCTGATACTTCTAGGATGGCCCCTGCTTAGAGTCTTCCATCCTGGGCTGACTGGGTAAATGGATGGCTGGTGGGGAGAGGCAGTGGGCAAGGGCTGGAGTCTTACTTCCTGCCACCATCTTTTCTAATCTGGGCAGTAAGGAGTCCAGCCCCACTGGGTTCGACTTGGCCATGCTGCCAGTAGAGTTGGGTCCCACTGCCTTCCTCAGTCTGATCCTTTCCCTGATGGCTCAGGCCATCCCATTGCACTGTACTGAACTGACCATTTCTCCTTCCCTTTGCAGACCCTTCCCCTGGTGTGTACAATGAGGTGGTGGTACCTGCCACTTACAGCAGCTTCCTGTACTGTGGTCCCATCAGCAACAAATCTGGACCCCCACCTACTCGCAAAGGCCGGGATGGTGAGAGGGGAGCCAAGGATGGGAGGAGATGGGGCAGAAACTGGGATGAGCAAGAGTGTGCCACAGAGGGGTAGGAAGGGCAAATAGGGCCACACCCTGGAGTGGGCTAGGTGCTGGGAGTAAGAGAGGGACCATGCCTGGTGGCAGCACTGGGTGATAGCTGAGAGCCTGTGCTGTGAAGTCAGACTGCCTGGGCCAAATCCCAGCTCTGCGACTTCCTACTAATGTGGCTTGGGCAAACTATTCAAACTCTGGGCCTCGGTTTCCCCATCTTGAAAGAGGACTGAAGATGATACCCACCTCATAGTGTTGTGAAGATTACATAAGATCATACACAGGCAGAGGGTTTGGCATAGAAAGAATAAATATCTGGCAATGGGAATTATGACAGTAGGGACAGACGTCTTCTGCCTGCTGACCATCAGCGTCCCCTTCAGCTCCCCCCCGACTGTGGTGCGTGCTGAGAGCAGCCCTGGAAATGTTTGTGTCAGAAAGCAGCCCTGAACCCCTCAGCCTCATCCAGCCCCAAGATGTTGTATGTCTGGGTGTGAGTCCCCCACCCACTGACCCAGGTGACCTCGACAGGTAACCACACCCCATGTTCCCTGCACTCCCCCTTTGCCGTTTCTGATCCCGAGCCTCCCAGCCCGCTCTTGGTCCCCATTCTCCTCCTTAACCTCACTTTCTTTCTAGGTTCCCCTTTTCCTTTGAGCTCATCCTCACCGGGGGGAGGATCCAGCATTTTGGCACAGATGGAGCTGACAGCCTGGAGGCCTGGACCAGTGCTGTGGGCAAAGTGAGCCAGCCAAGAGCCCTCCCTGACAGCCCATGGTTTCCCTGTCCCCAGCTGTCCCCATCCTGCCCTTTCCTATTCCTACAGCCATCCCCACCACATCCACCAGCATTAACAGCTGTGCTAGGACCAGTGTTAGGCATTGCCCACTCAATAGCTCATTTAACTTTCACAACAACCCTCAGAGGAAAGGATTATCAGTATTTCACATACAGGGAAACAGAGTTACACAGGTTATGAAGTCACTTGGTTAAGGTCACACAGCTAGGAGGCACAGGATCAAAAACAGGCCTCTGTCTCCAAAGCTTGTGGCTTGAACCTCACTGTGCAGGCCTTCTTCCCAAGGAAAGGCTGCCTCTAACTCCCACTTTTCCTTCCCCAAGTTCTTCCAGTACACAGGCGAGGCTGCCTTCATGAGGCCCAGCAACTCCATTCCCAGGCAAGCTAGTCTCTCTGTCCTACATCCTCTCCCTGGAATTAAAAGTTCAGGCCCCAAGGGCTGCCTGGGCGGCTCAGTCAGTTGAGCATCGACTTTGGCTCAGGTCATGATCTCCCCATTAATGAGTTCGAGCCTCACAGTGATCTCACTGCTGTCAGTGCAGAGCCCCCTTTGGATCCTCTGTTTCCCTCTCTCTGCCCCTCCCTGACTTGTGCTCTTTCAAAAATTAATAAATATATATATTTTTTAAGTTCAGGCCCTAAAGTCAGACATCCTGGGATTTAGTCCTCCAACTCTCAGCCTTGTGAGCTTTCCCATACAGATAGAGTGGGTGTAAAAGATGCACCCCTCAGGGTTGAGGATTAAGTGACATGTGAGACCGGCGCTGCTTGGCACACAGCAGGCCCTCCATCTGTGGGTGTTGAAATAGTAATGGTCAAGATGATGCCAATCACTCTAATCGCTCCCATTCTTAACCGTCTTTTTCTCTCAGCCCTGCTCCACCTTCAGCTTATCACCCTAGTGCCCTCCGGACAACCCCTCAGATAGTCGTGTGCCCTGGCAGGCATGTACTTCCTCCTTAACCCCTCGAGGTTGCCCCTTTGCCAGACTTCTGAGCTTCTACCCTGCAGGGTGGTTGGCAACTTCCCATTACCAAAGTCCAAGGGCCTCCTTCTGGCCTCACCAGGTCAGCCCTGCAGCATGTGACACTCCTCTGTGGGAAATGCTCAAACATCTGTCGGAATGTGACAGAGTGATTTTATGTGTAGAATTTTTTTATAAACTATATTAAGGGAGGGCTTATATTTTGTATCTTGTTTTTCAGTTTATTTTTATAGTAGTTCATTTTTACTGTTTTTTACAAAAGTACTGTTAGTAACAGATTGGAGTTTTGAACAAAAAAAAGAAAAGAAGAACTCCCTGTTCCTTCACCACAGGTAGCTGGAGAAGCACTACTCTGCAGACCATATCCAACACTCACTTCTCCACGACTCCTGCCCCAGGTGGTGGGATTTCCTAGGGCATCATGACTCTTCAATGATAGCATTTGGGATCCCCATTTTTTCTTACCCCTGTATCCCATTAAGGGCATAAGGCTGCCACACAGAAGATCTTCTCTGTGTTGGCTGGAGCAAATTAAATTGAACTGAATTTCTTTCCTGTCTTTCTCCATCCATCTCCTGTGTTCCTGGGTCTTTCTTTTGTTCTCTTCCCATCGCTTTTCATTCCTCTCTTTCTTCTGCTTTCTCTTCGTGTCTCTCCCTATCCTTCTCACTCTAATTTTCTTATCATCTCTTGTCTCTTTCCCCATCCTCCTTGTTCCCCTCTTCCTCTTGACTCACAGTGGTTCTCCCCGCTGAGCTGTCACCAGCTGCTGGGCCCTGGGCTGCTGCGGCTGGGCCGCCTGTGGCTGCGCTCTCCCACCCATTCAGCTCTGGCCTCTGGCCTCTGGCTGTCAGGGTTCGGGCTTCTTCGTGGTGACCACCTCTTCCTGTGTCCAGCACCGGGCCCTGGCCCTCCAGCCCCTGAGGACATGGTGCATTTACGGCGGCTACAGGAAATCAGTGAGCAAGGGTGGGGAAAGGGATGAAAGGTGGCCGTGGGGTGGGGGATAGTGGACCTTCATCTACTTGGGGATCCCTATGGAAATAGCAGAATATAGTGTATTCGGGTACAAGCTCTGGAGTCAGACTGCCCAGACACAGACCTCCACCTCCATCACTTTCTATCTATGTGAAATTGGACAAGTTGCTTAACCTTTCTGTGCCTTAGTTTCCTCATCTTCACAATGGGTACGGTGAAAGAGATGTAGTTTCAAAAAAGGCCATACATGTAAAACATTTATCACAGAACCTGGTAGGACTTATCTTGCAGGTGTTAAATGTTACATGCTAAAAATATTAATTTTATTTAGAGTCATTTGCTGGTTAGAGATGGGGAGAGGGGACTGGGTACTCTTACTTCCTCAAAGAGGACAGTATGGGATAATATCAGAGGTCTTTGGAGACAAGAGACCTAACTTCCAGCTCAATTTGCCATTTTATAACAAGTAATGAGATAAGCAACTTAACCTCTCTGAGCATTAATGTGTCACCTGTAAAATGGGGATAATAGTATGTAACTTACAGGATTTAATACAGCATTGTTTGTAGGGTTCCTAGCCTGGCACCTACATACCTTAAATACTTAGTAAATATTAGTCACTATGAAGAAGACAATCATGATAATGTCTGATGATTCTCCTCCCAGGTGTGGTTTCAGCAGCTGACACCCCAGATAAGAAGGAGCATTTGGTCCTGGTGGAAACAGGAAGGTAAGTGTTGCCCTTATCCCTGACCCTGGGCCCCTCTTTCTAGAGCCTGGCCCCGCCCTCCACCCTGGTCTGGTGGACCGATACTCACTTCCTCAAATTCCATTGCCTTGTTGAGGGGCTCTGTCTGGGTTGAATGTTGCTGCCCCCTGCTGGTGGCTCTTGGAAATCTGGGCCTTGAGATCCTGGGCCTCTTAGTTTAAAAGACCCTCTGGAGCTGGCTCTAACTCAGGCCTCTCGGGTCTCAGGACCCTGTATCTGCAGGGGGAGGGCCGGCTGGATTTCTCAGCATGGACCGCAGCCATTGAAGGGGCCGCTGGCGGGGGCGGCACAGGGCTGCAAGAGCAGCAGATGAGCCGGGGTGACATCCCCATCATCGTGGATGCCTGCATCAGTTTTGTCACCCAGCATGGTGAGTGGGTACTGGCCAATACTGAGGCAGTAGGGGATGGGGGACAGAGGAACAGCCAGGGGTTGTGACCTGCCTACAGGAGCTTTGCCTCCAAAGACTGCAGCCTAACAACAGCCCACTGTATGACCCGTGGCAAGTTTCTTTACCTTTCTGAGACTCAGTTCCTCCATTGGTGGAATGGGGCTACCAACAGTCCTCGTTTTCTAGGATAGTTGTGATAGTAAGAGAACATATGTAAAGTATTTAGCACAGCATCTGGCAGGTAGTAAGTGTTCCAAGGTAGCTGTTAGTGGGCCGTGGGTGTGGAGGGAGAGCAGAGCAGCACTGAAATGTGACTGGAGATGTAGAGCTATAAAGAACAAAGAGGGGGCAGCTGTAAGGCAAGAGCCAAGCTGTGCAGCAAAATCCTTGAAGGTCTGAGCAGAATTATTCTGTGTGGGAGTTTTTCCAGGCATAAAGGCTCAGCTGTGCAAGTGGCTCCCAGAATTCTCTGTGACTTTTTGGCCTCTGCTTTATTCTCCAGCCCAAGAAGGGACCAAGTAGAATCTAGCTCCTTGATGAACCCCTTTTAGAAGGCAGGACTCTTTTTTTAAAAAAAAAATTTTTTTATGTTTATTTTTGAAGACAGAGCATGAGCAGGGAGGGGCAGAGATAGAGAGAGACACAGAATCTGAAGCAGGCTCCAGGCTCTGAGCTGTCAGCACAGAGCTTGATGTGGGGCTCAAACCCATGAACCATTAGATCAGTACCTGAGCCCCCAGGCATCCCTAGAAGGCAGGACTCTTGAGAAGGAAACATCATGGAAAACTAAGGAAGGCAATAAAGGCGGGGGCGGGGGAAGGCACATCCATTAACTAGAAATAGTTGTCCTTACAACATGGACAGTGGATAGTCAGTGGCTAATGACATTCTCCACACCTTGGTAGTAGCCTCATATGCTGACTTCCCTGCTCACTAGATCCCATCCTATTCTCCTGGTGTTCAAAGGAGGGATTAAGTCAGTGGTCCAGTGAAAGCCCTGGAGAAAGAGCATGGGTGGTCATACCCACTCCTCCACAGTTTCTGCACTGCTGCTCTTCATATAGCAGATGTTTACTGAGCTGCTCCCATGTGCCAGATACTGGACATATAGCAGTGAAAAGGGAAGGTTCTATGATGCTCATAGACTAGTGGGAGAGACGGGTAATGAGTAAGAAAAATACAGTCAGTTCTCATTATTCATGGTAGTTTTGTTCTATGAAGTTATTGCAAACACTGAATGAATGAATACTAAATTGTTGCCCCAGTGGAAATTCAGGGTTGGATTCCTGGGAAGCAGTGGTCACATTCTCATCAAATGATCCACCAATATGTAACTTTGTTTTAAGTGTGTTTCTGTTTAAAGACACTTGCTTTAATATATATTTGTGATCTGTTAACTTTGAACTCACAGCCAGCAGCACTGTAACTCATGCATGAGGAAAGCTTGTCTGACACACATATTTTCTCCATAAGGCACATCACAGCCTTCTTGCACTTAGGGATACTAGACAGCAATCCAGCACTTCACTTGGGAGCCATTTCAAATAGTGAAACTACCCCCCAAAAAAGGCACAAGAATGCAAAAAATGTGGTTCTATATATACCATGAAGACTATACTTGTTTACCATATGAGAGCTTAGCTGGGAATGTGACCAACAGGCAACTCAAATTCTTCTCTGCTCTGCGCATGCTCACAAATGACTGGAAAAGTGCCACAAGTATTGGTTCAGGGGTTTCAAATAAACTTTATCAAGTAGATGAATTCACATTATGGAATCTGAATAGTGAGGATCGACTGTAATATGATTTACAAGTGCTATTTCAAAACCAAAATAGCAAGGAGATAGAGAGTTGTGGGGGCTATGTGTAATCTCATGGTTAGGGAAGCACCTTCTTCTTTTTTTTTTTTTAATGTTTTATTTATTTCTGAGAGAGAGAGAGAGAGAGGCAGCGTGAGCAGGGGAGGGTCAGAGAGAGAGGGAGACACAAAATTGGAAGCAGGCTCCAGGTTCTGAGCTAGCTTATCAGCACAGAGCCCGATACGGGGCTTGAACCCATGAACCGTGAGATCATGACCTGAGCCGAAGCTGGACGCTTAACTGACTGAGCCACCCAGGCGCCCTGGGGAAGGACCTTCTTAAGAGTCAAGATCGTGAAGGCAGACTTCCTCCTCTTTGGCTCATTTACCCCAGTAGCCCTAGAGCATGGGGGGGTGGGGGTGGGTGACAGATACTGAATACCAGGTGGGTGGGTGGGTCTTTGGGCAGTGGTGAGCAGAGATGCTGGCTGTTCTCAGGGCTCCAGCTGGAGGGCATATACCGGAAAGGGGGTGCCCGCGCGCGTAGCCTTCGGCTCCTGGCTGAGTTCCGGCGGGATGCCCGGTCAGTGAAGCTCCGGCCAGGGGAGCACTTCGTGGAGGATGTCACCGATACGCTCAAACGCTTCTTTCGAGAGCTCGATGACCCTGTGACTTCTGCACGGTTGTTGCCTCGCTGGAGGGAGGCTGCTGGTACTGCCAAAGTCCCTAAGAACTCCACACAGACAGCCAAGGGACAACCAGAAACTCCACCCCACCACCCCCTTGAATCCCTGAGGCTGTTTTGCCCTCCTCCCCAGTACTTTCTCCCCCCCAGAATCCCCCCAGGATCATTCAGGAGCTCAGCTTAGGTCAAGGTGGGAAGGGGGCAGAGGTACACCCATCCTAGGTTTGTTCCTCCAAAAATCTCTTGGCGCTCCCTTCCCTGATCATCTCCACCCCTCCCCTATTCCATCCCAGAGCTACCCCAGAAGAATCAGCGCCTGGAGAAGTACAAAGAAGTGATTGGCTGCCTACCACAGGTTAACCGCCGAACGCTGGCAACCCTCATCGGCCATCTCTATCGGTCAGTATGGCCAGAACCCCTGCAGGCTCCTCACTGACCCTTTAGCAGCTCTGTCTACCTGCCCCCAACATTCATTCCTTCATCCTGTAAACAACTGCTAAGTGAAAGCATCAGAGCACAAAGGTTCAGAGTGTGGACTCTGGGGTCAGGCAGACCTAAGTTTTACTCTGGCTCCACCATTCTAGTGTGTCACTTTGGGTAAGTTACTTGCACTCTCTGAGCCTCAGTTTCCCCATTTGTAAAAGGAAGCCGGAGATGTAGAGCCATACAGTTTCCTCATTTGTAAAAGGAAGATGGTGTAACGAATAGTATCTACCTCCTAGGGTCATGAGAGTTAAAGGAAATAATCCATCCAAAATCCTAACTGCAGCACCTGGCATGTATGTAGTAAGCATTCAGAAATGGTGAGCAATCAATATTTTGTTTTATTATTCTATGTCAGACAAAAGGTTAGGTGTAGGAGACACAAAGAAGAATAAGTGGCAGATTTATCTTGTTGAGTCTTTTGGGGAGACAGGTCTTTAAATGATTCTAAGGTGAACACTGGCTGCTGTATTGTACTGATTACTCTATATCACAAGGAGGGGCCCACTATGGTCCATGGGCCAAATGCAGCCCATTGCCTGTATTTCTAAATGAGGTTTTCTACATGAAGTGTAAAGCCACACCCATTCACTTATATATTATCTATAGCTCCTCTCATACTACAACAGAACTGATAAATTGCAACAATGTATGGCCTACAAGCCTAGAATATTTACTGCCTGTCCCTTTAAAAATTTTTTTCCTGACCCCTACAATATTTATAATCACCCATGCCTTATCTGTCTCTCCCCTAGACTGGGAGTTCCTTGTAGCCAGTATGGTGTCTTACAGCTTTATCCCAAATCCTCAGCCCAGGGCCTGGCATACAGTAGGAACTCAAAAGTGTTTGCTGAATGAATGGATGCAATGACCAACAGAGAAGCTGCATCACTTGTGACCCATGTCACACCCTTTTGCAGGGTGCAAAAGTGTGCTGCTATAAACCAGATGTGCACGCGGAACTTGGCCCTGCTGTTTGCACCCAGTGTGTTCCAGACAGATGGGCGGGGGGAACATGAGGTGCGGGTGCTGCAGGAACTCATCGATGGCTACATCTCTGTCTTTAATGTAAGCTCTCTCAACCCCTGACTATAGTCCCTCTTCCTGGATTCTGGATCCTTCTCTTCCCAACAAGCCCCCAGCCCAGACCTCTGAAGGCCCTCTGCATCAGGAATCACCTCTCAGAGCCCAAGGTCCCTCTATCCCATAACCTCACTCCAAATGTCCATGCCCCATTGGTTCTTAGCGCTTTTAGCCTCTAAGGCTCTCATATAGACCCTCTGGTCTTGCACATCTCCCCCTTCTTCCCTCATTTTCTAGCACCAGCCCCCACCTCCACAATACAAACACTTCTTTTTGGCTCTTCTACAGATTGACTCTGACCAGGTAGCTCAGATTGACTTGGAAGTCAGTCTTATCACCACCTGGAAGGATGTACAGGTAACTCGTCCTGACCTTAGACTCTTGAGTGAGCCAGGAGGATTTATTGAGACAGGAAGGTGGCCTTCTGCTGCTGGACATTGGCCCTCAGCTCTCGAGAAAGGGGAAACCCAAGGAGGGGAGCGCTTTGGGGATAGGGATTTGGTTTAGGATTTGCTCCACTTAGTCCACCATGAGGATTCTTCATTACAAAGTGGTGGCGAGTACTTCAGTTATGCATGTAAGAGATCCAAGGAAGAGTTAGCTAAGTTAGACAACGTGCTGAGAATAATAGTAATAAATAGGATAACAAACAGCTGAGGACTCATTATATTCTAAGCCCTATGAATGACCTTACTTTAACATTACACAACTCCATGAGGTAGACAGTCCCCTTTTTTCAAATAAAGAAACAGAGTGGGGCACCTGGGTGGCTCATTTGCTAAGCATCTGACTCAGTTTCAGCTCAGGTCATGCTCTCATTGTGGGTTTCAGCCCTGCATCGGGCTCTGCACTGAGCGCACAGAGCCTGCTTGGGATTCTTTCTCTTTCTGCCCCTCCCCTGATCTCTCGCTCTCTCAAAATTAATAAACATTAAAAAAATAGTTATAATAAAAAAAGAAAAAAGAAACAAACAGAGGCCTTGGGGGTCACTTATTCAAAGTCATACTGTAACGAGTGCCTGAGTTGTAAGCCAGAGAGTCTGACTCTAAACTTGTCTTTTCAAACATATGTTGGCACTGCCTTGGGAAGTACCCATGCAGCCTGAAGATGTGGCTCTGCCAGTCCCAGAGTTCTCCCTTATACGGGCCTGAGCCACACTGGGGATGAGGGGAAGGAGGAGACTTTTGTGGGGGATGTGCTTATGAAGCCACATAAGGAGTCCTCTGACCTTGATTTTTTGCATTTGCTTGTGTCCTCCTACTTTACCCCTCCTCCCAGCTGTCCCAGGCTGGAGACCTCATCATGGAGGTTTATATAGAACAGCAGCTTCCAGACAACTGTGTCACCCTGAAGGTCAGTCCTGAGGGGACACGTGGGGAGACGGGAGGACTGGAGGGGGGCAGGGTCAGTAGACTGACCAGCATGGATCCTCTGCTCTGGCCCTGACTCCAGGTGTCTCCGACACTCACTGCTGAGGAGCTGACTAACCAGGTATTGGAGATGAGGGGGACAGAGGCTGGGATGGACTTGTGGATGACATTTGAGATTCGTGAGCACGGGGAACTTGGTGAGCATGACCATGTGTGTGTAGATGCACATGTGATGGGGTGAGATCAAAGTCACTGGTGCCTTCTTTTGTCCAAATATAGTGGACGCTGTCTTCATACATGTGAAGGGACATTCCACACTGTTGACCACTCCCTCTTTCTCAATACTCTCTTCTCTCTTGACTTTTGTGGACCCCACAAACTGTAGGTTTGCCTTCTGCATCAAAGAAGGCTTTTCTTCCTCCTTTGCCCAGATTCCAAATGTTGGAGGAACCCAGCATTCAACCTGGACCCCTTTCCTTTCTCTACCTACATTTTTCCTTGGATGCCTCATCCATTCCAATAGCTTTAAGTGCCATTATAAAGCTGAAACCCAAATTTTTATTTCTGGCCCAGATCTCTCCTCTGAGCTCCAGACTCACATGTCCAACTGTCTACTGCACACCTCCACTTGTATGTCTCATATGCATCTCTAATTTAAAACATGCAAGACTCAACTCAGTTTCCAGACCCTTCACCTAACAAAAAGCCCAGGCCATTTTGCAGTTTCTCCTAACTCAGTTATCAAGGCCAGAAACCTTGGAGACTTCCCTTTTCTTCAACTTCACACCTAGCCCAACCTGCTGATTCTATTACAATCTGTCACTTTTCTCTATCTCCACCATTACTACCACCCAAGGTGAAGTCACTGCTATCTTTCTTTCCCCAATGTTAACCACTAAAATATATAGCCCCAGAAAGGGAAGAACTGGCTAGTGTTCCCTTCTTGCCTCCCAATGACCCATTTTCCAGCAGTCAACATGCATTGCGAGCATAAATCACATCATGCCATTACCTTCCAATGGCTTTCCACTGGGCTTAAAATAAAATTCAAATTCCTTATTATGGCCCACAGACCCTGAGTGTCTGGCCCTTGCTTATTTCTTGGACCTCATCTCATATAACTCATTCTCTGGGCTTCAGCCATGCTAGCTGTTCTTCAAACACATCTTTCTTGCCTTCAAACATATCTTTCCTGCATTTTGTCATGCCCGCAATTTTCTTCCCCTGAACTTAGAATGGCTTGTTCCTCCTATTCCTTCACACCTCAGTCTCATCTTCAAATGCCCCCTTCTGAAAGCCCTTGCCTGGGGGCGCCTGGGTGGCTCAGTTGGTTAAGTGCCTGATGTTGTAGGGTCAGGTCATGATCTCATGGTTGGTGAGTTCTAGCCCCTCATCACGCTCCATGATGACAGCTGGGAGCCTGGAGCCTGCTTCGGATTCTGTGTCTCCCTCTTGGCCCCTATCCAACTTGCGCTCTGTCTCTGTCTCTCAAAAAAAAAAAAAATAAATGTTAAAAATTTTTTGAAAGACCTTGCCTGGTCATCACCCTGTCACAGGGGCTGCTCTCCTGCTCTCTCTCTCAGCTTCTTGTTTCTTTCAAAGCACTAATTGTCTGCAGTTATTTGATTTACTTACCTGTTTAATGTCTGCTCCCTCACTTTACTGTGGGGTTTGTGTTTCATGCTCACCACTATATCCCCAGGGCCAACACAGTGCCTGGCCCAGAACTGGTGCTAAAATAAATACCTGTGGCTGGGTGGCCGATTGGACAAGTGAATGTGACTGGTGGGAAAGGAGTGGGGGCTCCAGGCTGTGGATGGATATTCTGGTTGATATTCACTCCCACTCTATCCCTTCCTTAGAGCGGCCCCTGCACCCCAAGGAAAGGGTCCTAGAGCAGGCTCTTCAATGGTGCCAGCTCCCAGAGCCCTGCTCGGCCTCCTTGCTCTTGAGAAAAGTCTCCCTGGCCCAGGCCGGCTGCCTCTTCACAGGTGACCCTCCTTCTTCAATCCAGCACCTCCATCCCCAGGCCTTTCCCCCAGGACCCTCCACCCAGCATTGCCGTTTGTGCCCAGGTATCCGGCGTGAGAGCCCAAGGGTGGGTCTGCTGCGATGTAGGGAGGAGCCTCCCCGCTTACTGGGAAACCGCTTCCAGGAGAGGTTCTTTCTGCTGCGTGGTCGCTGCTTGCTGCTGCTCAAGGAAAAGAAGGTGAGGGAGGCTGGCCGCCCTTAGGAGGAGCTGTGACTGCATTAAGCCTCTCACTCCACACTCCATGTGCTCATCAATCTCATTGCTGTCCTGGTCCTTTGACCTCTGTGACCCTGTTGATCACATAACCCCGATGCTTCCATGACTTCTCGACCCAACTGACTGTGATCCTTCTCTCACCTCTTGACCTCACTAACTGCCTTCTTGTTCTCAGAGCTCTAAACCAGAACGAGAGTGGCCTCTGGAAGGTTCCAAAGTCTACCTGGGAATCCGAAAGAAGTTAAAACCTCCAACACCGTGAGTGTCATTCCCCAGCCCATGTTTCTAGGGCCTTGCTGCCATCATTTCTTTGGCCTTTCTAATCACTTCATCTCTGTTCTCCTTTGCCTCCTAGGTGGGGCTTCACACTGATACTGGAGAAGATGCACCTGTGAGTACCTCCAGCCTGACTTCTCTGGCCCAGCCCTGCACCCTGTCTTCCCCCTCCCTATTTTTTCTATCCTCCATCCCTAGAGCTCCAATCCCTCCTCTCCAGCTCATTCTCCTCTGATCACCCCCAGCTACCTGTCCTGCACTGATGAGGATGAGATGTGGGACTGGACCACCAGCATCCTAAAAGCCCAGGTGAGGGGAAGGAGAAAACTGAGAGCTAGGTCTGAGGTCCCAGCTCTAGCCTTCAGTACCTCCCATGCCCACTGTGCCAATTCCTCAATCTCCCACCAGCACGATGACCAGCAGCCAGTGGTCTTACGACGCCATTCCTCCTCTGACCTTGCCCGTCAGAAGTTTGGCACCATGCCTTTGCTGCCCATCAGAGGGGATGACAGCGGGGCCACCCTCCTCTCTGCCAATCAGACCTTGGTGAGGTCCCCCCAGCCTGCTCCAGTGCTCTCCTGATCCCTGCCTGTGTCCTCGCCACACTGCAGGAGGGGAGTGGTGTGCCTGTCATCCTGGTGCTCCCCTCTGCCTTCTCTGTGTCCCCACCCCCACCTCCTGTTGCCAGGCCTCACTGTGTCTCTGTGTCTCTCCCTCCCCTCCCCATCCCACCTGTGCCCAGCGGCGACTTCACAACCGGAGGACCCTGTCCATGTTCTTTGTGAGTACTGTGCCATCTCAGCTGTGTGCCTGTCAGCCCTGTGTTCCTCTGTGCTGCCTGAACTGGTGTACCCTCTGTATTTGTGCAGATGTAGGCCATCTGTGTGTGTGTGTGTGTGTGTGTGTGTGTGTGTGTGAGAGAGAGAGAGACAGAGAGAGACAGAGAGAGACAGAGACAGAGACAGAGAAACAGAGAGACAGAGAGGGAGAGGGGCAGTATATTGTGAGGGGCCAGAAGGAATCAGAAAAATAAGGGATGGTAGGATGTGATAAGGAAAAGGGAAGTGGTCCAGGATCTGAAAAAGAGAACGAAAGTGGTTAAGTGAACCCATTTTGAAGTTAGACAGACCTGGACTGTAGCCCTAGTTCTTCCATTTATTCACTGTGTGATCTTGGGCAATTTACTTAATCCCTCTGTGCCTCAGTTCACTGTATGCAGTGTAACTGCATTGTTACAGAGTCATTTTGGTATCATATATGCAAAGTATTTTGCAGCATCTGGCCCAGAAGAAGAGCTCGATAAATGTTAGTGATTAATAATCTAGTAACTCTAACTCTGTGCCTGCTTCATGCCAACCCATTCCCATCTAGCCAATGAAGTCAACCCAGGGGTCTGTGGAGGAGCAAGAGGAACTAGAAGAGCCTGTCTATGAGGAGCCAGTGTATGAGGAAGTGGGAGACTTCCCTGAACTGACCAAAGACACCTCTACCTCCTTCTCCACCATGAGAGATCAGACAACCAACCCAGAGACCCCCCTCACCAGCCAGAGGTCCTTTGATCAACCCCTTTTCCTCAAGGCAGGTGCCCCGGGGCCAGAGGAAAGGCCACCTGAGCCCCCTCCAGGCCCCCCTTCAAAGAGCAGCCTCCAGGCACGTGGGTCCCTGGAGGAGCAGCTGCTCCAGGAGCTTAACAGCCTCATCCTGAGGAAGGGAGAAACCACCATAGGTCTGGGCAGCCCCTCCCAGCCCTCCAGCCCCCAGTCCCCGAGCCCCAATGGCCTTCTGACACAGACACCTAACTTCCCCACCCAACCTTCCTGCACTTCTAGTTCACCCTCCAGCCAACCCCTCACATGACCCTAAGACCAGCAGTCTGAAGGGATAAGTAACCAGAAGACCTAAGTTCTCACCATGGCAGACACTGCTGGGAGCTTCCTCTGCTCTGGATGAAAAGACTCTAGAATCCAGTGTGGTGCTGCGGAAAGACCACAGGACTCGGGGTTCTGGACTCTCCTGCCCAGAGAGGGTCAGAACATGGCCCTCGCTGAACCTCCACTCATTATATGTACCATGACGTCACTGAAATAAGGAGAGCAGTGAACATCAAACTGTTTCTTAGAGGTGTAAGCCCCACATATTTTCCCTCATCAAGGATAACTCCTCCTTTATATATTTGATATGTAGGAGTCCTGTGAGAGATTTTGGGTTTGAAAACAATGGGTTTATTGCATTAAAGAGAAAAAGGATTTGTAAGCCAGAGAGCTGAATCATCTCTAAGTCTATTCTATCCCACCTCCTACATTTGGGAACTACACTGAAGACCTAGAGTTGGGAGACTGGGGTTGGGAGTTGGGGTGAAGAGGAGCCAAAAAAGATTTGTCACTGTTAATAAACCTTGGAACCAAAGGCTACTGTTGTTTCATTCATTTTTCATTCATTCATTCATTCATTCATTCAACAAATATGTATTGAGCACTTAGCTGGATATTAGGTGTTCAGTATGAACCAAACAGATGGGTCCTCCTTTTAAGGAGTTTCCAGTATAGAGGGGGAACAGAAAACATTAAATACACAAACTAAATCAGTGATGTGAAGAAATTAGACCTAATGTGATGTGCTTGTGGAGGTGGCCTTTAGGCTGGGAGAATGGGGAAGGCCTCTGTGATGAATTGAAACTTAAAGAAGGCAGACAGGGTGCCTGGCTGGCTCAGTCAGTAGAGCACTTCAGACTCTTAATCTCAGGGTTGTGAGTTCAAGCCCATGTTGGGAATAGAGGGTACTTAAAACAACAACAACAACAGAAACAAAACCAAGAAACTAATAGACTTGATTTGGTGGCGTCTGGCTGGCTCAGTCAAAAGAGCATGCAACTCTTGATCTCAGGGTCATGAGTTTGAACCCCATGTGGGGTGCAGAGATTGCTTAAATTAAAAAAAGAAACTTAAAAAAATAAAGAAGTGCCTGGGTGGCTCAGTTGGTTAAGCGTCCGACTTTTGATTTTGGCTCAGGTCATAATTTTACGGTTTGTGAGTTCAAGCCCCACATTGGGCTCTGCTCTGAATGTGCTGAGTCTGTTTGGGATTCTTTTCTCTCCCTCTTACTCTGCGCCTCCCCTGCTCGTTCACTTGCTCGCTCTCTCTAATATTTAGAGAGTAAATAAATAAATACATAAACTTAAAAAAATTTTAATAAATAAAAAAGAAGCCAGACATGTGGAGTGCTGGGAGAAGGAGCACTCCAGAAGGAGAGGGAAATCAGCTGGCATGAAGGCTTTGTAATGGGAAGAGACTTGGACTGCTGGAGAAACAGGAAGGAGGCTAGAGTCGCTGAAGCATGGTGAGTGGGCAGCCAGAGAAGTGTATGGGCCGAAGGGGGAAAGATCGGCAGGGGCCCAATAATGAACAACCCTTGCAGTCCATGCTAAGCTGTTTGGATTTTATTCTAAAGCAACTGAGAAGTTTTAAGGAAGAGAGTGATGAGATCTTAGTTTTTCTTTTTTAAAGATAAATCACTGGCTATTTTGTGAACAATGGGTCATGGCAGGAGTTGGGGGGGGAGCAAAAGACCAGATATTAGACAGAAAACCGAAAATGGGGTTTGAACTAGGTTGATGGTTTTGGAAATTGAAGGAAGATGATCAATAAGAGATATTTTAGAAATAGAACCTATGGGACTTGCTAACAGATGGAATGTAGGGGTATGAGAAAAGGGCACACTGACTCTGGGTTTCAGACTTTCCTAACTGGATGGAGAGAGGTGTCCTTTGGTATTTTATCTGGGGAAGATAACTTGGGAAGGATCAGGTAGAAGGAGCAGTTTTAAAAGTTTGAGGTACTTATTCGATATACAAGTGCTGGTGTCAGTGGGTTGCTGGAAATATGAATCTGGAGTTTGGGGCCACAGGATTGCGGTGCAGAACCTGAAAGGTAGACCCTAACGGTGACAGGGGCCTTCTGGGCCACAAGGTCCCACACCCATCTCCCTGCTTATATCCACTCACGAGTACCATTTAGCTTCCATCACCCCGAGACATACCTGTTTCCCTCTGGGACTGGTTTCTTCCTGGCTCCAGGCAATTTTCTCACCGCCACTCACGCTGGCTTTTCCAGTTCTGTGGGAATCTGGGAAAGGTCTGAGACCAGTCCTGTTTCCTTTGTCAGAAGCATCTTTGCTCAGGCATCCAGTGACTCAGTTTCCCTGGTCACAGACTGAGTTCCTCCTTGCCATCCGTCATCCTTCGCGCCAGGACCGGAGATCTACATATGTAAATGAATGATTAGAAATAATTAAAGGCTGAGTCAGTGGCTCTACTAGAAATAGAACCCAGGCGTCTTGACTCAGAAACTTAGGGTTACCCTACCGCGCAGAAGACGCGGCGTCCACTCGGCAGCTCCGACCCTTTCCGGAGTATTCGCAGTAGTAACAGAAGTTGATCTGGTTTCTCCTCGGCACCTTCGCGCTTCGTAGCCCTGTGCGAAGTCGGACCAGGCGTGGGCGGGACGGGGGCGGAGCTGGGCCAGGTCCGGGGCGGGGCTTTGGCGTGGGCGGGGCTTCCTCGAGTTCCGGAGTCGAGTCGCTTGCTTTGGCCGGAGCAGAGATGCAGCCGCCGCCCCGAAAAGTGAGCTTGGCCTGGGAATGGGGACTCCTGGTGGGCTGGCGGAATGGTGGGAGTCAAGGGGGCTCCGGACCCACAGTAGGGGACAAGGAGTTGTAAGGGTTCAGGGCCTAACCCAGAAGTAACCCAGGAACCAGCCCAGCTCCTCCCCGGTGCCGCCCCCTCGCCGCTCCCTGCGCGGAGTGTTTTCGCCGGGGGTCTTCACTCTCATCTTATCCTCACAGGTGAAGCCGGCCCAGGAGGTAAAGCTTCGCTTTCTGGAGCAGCTGAGCATCCTTCAGACCCGGCAGCAGAGGGAGGCAGATTTGCTGGAGGACATCAGGTACCCTCTGATCCCCTCCACGTACCCCCCACCTTCGCCGTTGCGCGCCCCGCCTCTCTTCTAACCTACGTTCTTCGGCTCTGGACCCGGGAGGGGAGGCGCAGGGGGTGAAGAGTTCTCCGCCCTGCCCATTACCGGCCCTCACTCTCGGCCTGCCTCTCCAGTTACTAGATAGGACTTCTTCCTCTCAACCCAAGACACAGAAGCCCGCACAGACCTTTCCTGAAACCCCTTGACTCCACACCACTCCTTCCACCCCACAGTCAAGCTTAGAGCAGAATCTCCCCTCCCTCTTCCAGACCTGTTGGAAGGCTGGAGGACAATGTGTCCAGGCCCGCCCCCATCAGTCCTCACCTCCAAGCCCAATGATGGTTCTCCAGGGGTGGGGAGGATCCTGCTGAGGCTCTGAGCAACGAGGTGAGGTTGTTCTGGGTTGCGGCTGCCTGAGGTGATCTCAAGGACTCTTCAGTCTCATTTCCTCCTGGTGTACTCACACTCTAGGCCTGGCTCCCCTCTTCCTCCTGCCCAGGCTGAGGAGAGGATTGAGGGTGGGAGAACAGGACTAAACTGTCACCACCACTCGGCCCCGCTAATCTCCACAGGTCCTACAGCAAGCAGAGGGCAGCCATTGAACGCGAGTATGGGCAGGTATGGAACTCCTTTCTCCAGTCTTTCCCTTTTGTTCTAGCCTCCTTTAAACCACCAGCATTGTCTCTCCACACATACTCCTGTTCTGGTCAAGAGCAAATGCCTAGAATTAAACAGATGTGTGTCAGATCTTTGTTGTTCTACTTGTTGGCTGTGTGACCTTGGACAACGTATTTAGCCTTTCCTGGCCTTGATATCTTTCTCTGTACAATGGAAATAATAAATGTACTTTCATGTAGGGTTGTTGTACCGATGCAATAGGTTAATGCACGTAAAGCACTTAGCAAAGTGAGTGCCACATAATATATATTATACTCTGATCCCATATTTTCCCAGTTGGTGAGAGTCTTTGAGAGGTAACTGGGTCTGTGATGACTTTCCCACCAGGCACTTCAGAAACTGGCTGGGCCATTCCTGAAGAGGGAAGGTCACCGGAGTGGGGAGATGGACAGCAGGTGGGTCCCATGGAGTGGGGAGGTCAGGGAACCTAGAAGAGATGAGGAGCTCAATCTCAGGAATCTATGGGAATAAAGAGCCAGTGAGGGGGTAGGGCACGTGAGCTGCAGGTAGAGCTGACACAGCAGCCGTAGAGGAGCTGACCCAGCAAGGACACTGTGGGTGCAGGCAGAGGGCATGAGTGATCCTTGTGGCTGAGCTAATGGGCTGTTCGATTGATAGGCTCCCAGACAAGGGGGATGGGAAAGCACTCTGTCTCCTATGGTGTTGGGGTTGGGGGGGAGGGGTCTCATGAAGCTTTGGAGTGGTTTCCTCCTCAATACAGACCTTCTCTGGGGAGAGGCAGGATGGCGTTTGGTGCCTGGCGCTGCCTGCTGGATGCCACCGTGGCTGGGGGCCAAGCCCGGCTCCAGGCATCTGACCGATACCGTGACCTGGCAGGGGGCACAGGGCGGAGTGCCAAGGAGCAGGTGCTTAGGAAGGTATGTCTGTGTGGATGGGATGAAGGAAGGGCTGGCTTGTGGCTGGAGGTGGTCAGGGCCAGGACTCTGTGTGTCCATGCCCCTAGGGAGCAGAGAACCTCCAGAGGGCACAAAGTGAGGTGCTGCAGTCTGTCCGGGAGCTGAGCCGAAGTCGGAAGCTGTATGGGCAGCGGGAACGTGTGTGGGCCTTGGCACAGGAGAAGGCAGCTGATGTCCAGGCGAGGTGGGGTCATGGGGAGTTTGGAAGACTGGCAGGAGGGGGGGATCCAAGGCATGACAGCCGAGCCTAAACTTGACTTCTCTCCCTTGCCTGCACAGACTGAACCGAAGTGACCATGGGCTCTTCCACACTCGAACCAGCCTCCAGAAACTCAGCACCAAGGTTTGGGAGATGTGGATATGAGTGGGGGCAGGAAAGAGGTGGGCAGAGTAGTCTCATGGTCTGCAAACCACGGGCATAAATCTGAGAGACTGGGACAAATCCAGGCTTCCTTACATCTTCAGTGCTTGACCTTGGTTAACCTGATCTCTCTGAGTCTCATTTTCTTCATCTGTAACATGGAAATAGTATGTTTCTTTTTTATTCCTTTACCACAGTAAAGGACATTTACTGAGGACTTTATAAAGTTCCTACCTTCAGAATCTGGTGAAGGGCAGACAGATAGCAAATAAACAAACAATCAGATTAAGTGAAAACAAAACAAGGTGCTATGATAAAGGGTAACAGGGTGTGATTTAGAGAGAAAGCCATGGTCTGACTGTCAAGAAGGAGTCAGTCATGCAAAGATCTAGGAGAAGAACATTCCAGGGAGAGGAAATGGTGAGTGCAGGGGCTCTGAGATGGGAATAGCTTTGTGGGCAATAGATGGAGGAACTGAAAGAAGACCAGAGTGGCTGGAGCACTGTGAGCAAGGGAACAAGTACTGTGAAAAAAGGTCAGAGAGGCTGCAGGGACCAGCTCATGTGGAACCTGGGAAGCCACAGTAAGGAGCAGTTGGGATTTTATTTTAAATGAACCTAGATGCCACCAGAGCATTTTGAGCAGGAGTTGTGAGTGTACAAAAGTCTCAGTATAGCACCACGTGCATAGTAAGCACTCAATAACGTGAGAATCCATTCTGGATTGGATTGGCCTTAGAAGGACCCCAAGGGTCTAGGACTCCCTGTTGACATGTATTTTCTCTTCCTAGCTATCTGCCCAGTCAGCCCAGTACTCCCAGCAGCTGAGAGCAGCTCGCAATGAATACCTGCTTAACTTGGTGGCCACCAATGCCCACCTTGACCACTACTACCAGGAGGAATTGCCAGCCCTGCTCAAGGCCAGTCCAAGCCCAGATACCCTGCCTCTCAGTGGAGGGGTGAGGGGTGTGTGGGAGGGCCTGTCCTTGCTTCCTACCACCACCAGGCTGGGTGGTGCTAGGGACCTAGACTGCTTTGAGTGGGTTAGAAGAGACATCCTTCGGTTCTGGTTCTGGTTCTAGCTGACTGTATGACATTGTGCAGATCACTAACCCCTCTGAATCCCTCATCAGCGATAACTTCTGCTCTGCCTACTTTGTAGAGTCATGGGGCTCAGGGGAGAAAATGGATCTGAAAATGCTTTTTAAATTGTTAAGTTCTGTGCATACGTGAGGGTCTATTATTAGAAGCAGTAATAATGTCTCATTCCTTCCCTCTTTCCAATTCCTCATGCCCAGCACCGATCTAAACCTGGGCAGAGAGCCTACTTTGCAGTAGATGCTGGGGGAAGGGTAATGTCATTATCTTGGGGTTCTCTCTAGGCCCTGGTCAGCGAGCTGTTGGAACACCTGAGGGATCCCCTGACCTTGCTAAGCCGCACCGAGCTGGAAGCTGCAGAGTTGGCTCTGGAGCATGCCCACCGGGGAGCGCAGGCGACCTCCCAGGTGAGGGCTGTGCCCTGTAAGACATCCCTAGAGATCCTCTTTCCCCTATCTTTCAGTACAGACCACGCACTGAATGTCTGCTCCTTTTGTTCTCACCTTCTTCTAAGAGGGGGCTGGGGACAGACTTGGAGAGGTTACCAGTGAGTGCCTACAGTGACCTTTTACAACCCCCAGGTAAGCTGGGAGCAGGATCTGAAGCTCTTTCTTCAGGAGCCTGGAGTATTTTCCCCCACACCGCCTCAGGAGTTTCAGCCTGCTGGGACTGATCAGGTGAGACCTCTTTGTTCATTGGAACCAAACCACATGTAAAAAGGACAGTGGTTTAGTCCTCCTCCCTCATCATCCTTGTCCCGGTAATAACTTAGTGACTGTTAAGTGGCTTCAGAACTCTAGTTCACCTCCCTCCCACCAGGATACAAATAAACATATTTTATCCCACCTTTCTGGTCCTTCACTGCACTATCCTCCTCATTCCATCTCTATCCCTCAGCCCAGATCCCATTTTGGGGACACTCTTTGTCTTTGTGTCAACAGGAATGCACACCTGTGTCCATAGACATAAGTGTGTGTGCCCTCACCTCTTTGTCCTTGGAGGTCAGGACAGAGAGAAGAAAAAGGAGGAGACTGTAGTGAAGGAGCAACATCATGTCCTCCTCACAGCACCTGTGTTCATTGTTCATGCAGGTGTGTGCCTTGGAGCTGGAAGGAGACACAGGAGGCATGGCTGGGGACAGTAGCCTGGAGAAAGAGGTTCAGCGCTGGACAAGCCGAGCTGCCCGAGACTACAAGATCCAGAACCATGGGCATCGGGTGAGTTGGGGGGTGCAGGTGTCATGGGTGGGCAGGAAGAGCCGAGAGATGGGGACCCTGGAATCAATGGGATGTCATAGGGCTGCAGGCAGGAGGAGAAGGAAAGGTATCTTAAGCCAATAGTGTGGCACAGTAGTTAAGAGCACTGCTTTTGGAGCTAGACCCACCTGGGTTCAAATCCTGCTCTGTTGTTTCCTAGTTATATAACCCTGAATAAGGGAGTGACTTAATCTCTCTGGACCTCAGTTTCCTTATCATTACAGTGTGATTAATAATCATAGCCACCTCATAGGGAAGACTAAATGACATAATGCATGTGAAGCAAGTAGCAGAGTGCCATGTCCATAGTAAGTTGTCTCCCGTAGTATTTCTACCCACCCCATCCTCTGCTTTCCCAACCAGGTGCTGCAGCGGCTGGAGCAGAGACGACAGCAGGCTCCAGAGCGGGAGGCTCCAGGCATAGAACAGCGGCTACAGGAAGTGAGGGAGAGCATCCGGCGGGCCCAGGTGAGAAGTAGCCCTGTGGCTAGGACCACAGAGATCCCACCTCCACACATAACAACCTCCTCCTCCGCCCTCTCTGGATGGTGGGGAGTGGGAGGCAGGAGGCCGAAGGTGGACAAAGTTGGGAAGGCTCCGCCTACCTCCCAAAGGCAGGCCCACCCATAGCCTTGATTGATCTCTCTTCCCCGTGCCAGGTGAGCCAGGTGAAGGGGGCTGCTCGGCTGGCCCTGCTGCAAGGAGCTGGCCTAGATGTGCAGCGCTGGCTGAAACCAGCCATGACCCAGGCCCAGGATGAGGTGGAGCAGGAGCGACGGCTCAGTGAGGCCCGGCTGTCCCAGAGAGACCTCTCTCCCACCGTGAGCACCCTTTGCTCTGTACCCATACACCCCCAGGAAGTTAAAGGGTAGAACTCCCCAGTGGAGGGAAGACCCTGTTAAATGGGGATCACGAGAGTGCTTAAGTCAAAGAGGATTTTGTGCAGCTTGAGTGACAAAAGTATAATTTTTTGTGTAGTTTGTAGCATAGAGTGTCAGTGAACTTTTATCATGAGTACAGTAAAACCTTGGTTTGGGAGCATAATTTGTTCCGGAAACATGCTTGTAATCCAAAGCACTTGTATAGCAAAGTGAATTTCAAGAACCATTGGCTCAGTTGTGATCCTGTGACATTAGGCGTCACATAAGACTTATATCGCAAGACATCGCTCATTTATCAAGTTCATTATTAGAAATATTTGCTCGTTGTGCAGAACACTGAGAGAACAAGTTTATCATAACCCAAGGTTTTATTTATATAGGACAGTGGTTGTGAACTAAGTTCTAAGTATAGATTATAAGTGGTTTGAGCACCAGCCACTCTATTTACTAGCTGTGTGACCTTAGAAAGTGACTTAAACCATCTGAGCCTCAGTTTCCTCATAAGCAAGCTGAGGTTTTCAGTTATACAAAATATCACTGGGTTATTATGAAGATTAAATGAGGCGATATACAAAAGATGTTTGGTGTTGTACCGGGCACAGAGTAAGCACTCAGGACTAAAATTCTGTAGTTGTTTTTGGTGTTACCCTGCTCTGTGGTGATTTTGCTTTTGATACATGGGGGTTGATAGATGGATGTGGCACCTTGGGGAATGATCTGCCAGTGTTCCTTAAGGAAAGAATGGAGTAGTGAGAGATGAAATGGGAGATAAAACACTTGAGAGTGTGGGCCCCCCAGTGATGTCTGTTGTCTGCCCCCTTCAGGCTGAGGATGCTGAGCTCTCGGACTTTGAGGAATGTGAGGAGACAGGGGAGCTCTTTGAGGAACCTGCCCCCACAGCCTTGGCCACTAGGCCCCTTCCCTGCCCTGCACATGTGGTGTTTGGCTATCAGGTATCAGGTGGGCAGGGGGGTGGTGAGAGACAGGTGGGGATGGGAGACAGCCAAGTTCTGAATTCTTCCTTCTGGGGCCCAGGCAGGGCGTGATGATGAGCTGACCATCACAGAGGGCGAGTGGCTGGAGGTCATAGAAGAGGGAGATGCTGACGAATGGGTCAAGGTGGGTATGGACCTTAGATTCTGATCCTGGTAGTGTTTGGGTGGGGGAGTGCAGTGGGAAGGGTGTCTCTGTGGCTTGCAAGGATCCAGCCAGACAAGGCTAGAAGCTTAAGGAGGAGGGCTAGGGTCACGGACTACTGAGGCAAGTCTGTTATCTGTTCACATTGCTGGGCAAACAGGCTCGAAACCAGCACGGCGAGGTAGGCTTTGTCCCTGAGCGGTATCTCAACTTCCCGGACCTCTCCTTCCCTGAGAGTGGCCATGACAGCGACAACCCCTCAGGGGCAGAGCCCACAGGTGAGAATGGGAAATTAGGGGTCAGGGGATCTCAAGTGGTTGGGGCCCTGGGATGTCATGGTCCTGGGGCACTACTGCCCATCAACTCCCCTCAAAATCTCTCCTGGGCTTCTGCAGCTTTCCTGGCCCGTGCCCTATACAGCTACACAGGACAGAGTGCAGAGGAGCTGAGCTTCCCCGAGGGGGCGCTTATCCGCCTGCTGCCCAGGGCCCAGGATGGAGTGGATGATGGCTTCTGGAGGGGAGAATTTGGGGGCCATGTTGGAGTCTTCCCCTCCCTGCTAGTGGAGGAGCTGCTTGGTCCCCCAGGGCCCCCTGAACTCTCAGATCCTGAACAGGTGAGGCTTCCTTCTTTCTGGATCTCCAGGCACCTCTGGGTTGACCCTCCCACTCCAGTGAGGCCCCATATTCATCTTAATGCCCCCTCTCTTCTCCAGGTTTACTTCCTATAGTGGCTTGGGCCTCCCCAAGGAGTTTGGCTGGGCAGAAAAGAGGGAAACCCAGGCTGTCTTCATAAGAATTTGGTGGTCCTACTTTAGTGCTAGGTACATCTGAGTTCGGATTCCTATTGTATTACCTTGGGAAGCAATATAACCTCTGTGCTTTTGTCTTCACATGTAAAACAGGGTAATAATACGTACATCAGCAGCCCACCTGTCATGATTAGAGATAATGGAGGTGAAGCTCCTAGCACAAGTGACCCATAGGAGGTTCTTTAATATATGGTACCTATGGTGACAAGGAAGAGCCTTGGCGTGGTAGTCAGGGGAGCCAGTTCTAGTCAGGACTTGACCACTAACTGGCTCCATTCTTTTGGATAGATAGCTTAATCTGAGTCTCACCTCTAACACAGAAAACATAAAAATCCCTACTCGATGGGATGGCAGTGAGGAATGAATTAATTAGTGTATACGAAGTGCCAGCAGAATGTCTGGGATAGTTAAGGGTCAGTAGATATTGGCTATTGAAGTGTATATTAGCTACAGCCCCTACCTGGATATAAGCATTTGGCCACTGTCCAAATCGAGGAGTGATGTTGAGGAGTGATGGGACAGGCATTGAAGACAAGATGAGAGGAAAAGTTGATGAAACTGTCCCATATACCAGGAATAATGCTGTGTGCCTCTCCTTCCCAGATGCTGCCATCCCCTTCTCCTCCCAACTTCTCACCTCCTGTGCCCACCTGTGCCTTGGATGGAGCCCCTATACCTGTGCTGCCTGTGGGTGAGTAGAGGGCATTGGGGGCTCTGGGCGCAGAAGAGACGGGAAGGAGGAGCAAGGTTACTTTCGACTTCTCTGCCTGCCGTCAGGAACCTCCTCCCTGAGGCTCACAGAAGCATGACGGGGAGAAGAACTTGGGTTTTGGAGGCAGGTGCATTGTTCAGACTTTGCCTGTGACTTCCCAGTGTGTAGTTTCAGGAGAGATATGTAACTCGCCTGGGCCTATTTACAGAGTGAGGAGAAAGGTCCCTACCTCACTGAATTGTTGTCAGCGTTAGAAAGATGGGGCCTAGCATTAGCACGCATGCACGTAGTAGCTGTTTTCTCATGATGAATATTTGACAAATTAGCCAGATTCCCCCAGTGTTTTATCTTTTCTGAAACCTTCTGGTGCTTCTGTTTTCTTCATGGAGCCTCTGTCCCTGATTCTAGAGGTCCCTGTGAGCATTTTCTGCACCTCCTATACCTGTAGTTCACTTGGAAGGATTTAGCACTCATTCATTTTGTTTGTTGGTTTTTCACTTTTAGGTCCCTGACACAGCCATTGGGAGTGGGAGTGCTGTGAATCCCATTTCCCCCTCTCTGGTACCTTGCACAGGGCTGATGATACAGCAGGTGACAAATAAGTGTTGAGAATAGATGGACTGATGGATTTTATGGCTCAGATTAGTGACTATTCATTAATACAACGAACACTTAGAGAGTGCCATTGTTGTAAGTGCTGGAGATGCAGCAGTGAACAAAACAAAACCTGAAGACTGACTTGTGGTTCTTGTTTGTAGACCAAGACCTGGAATGCCCTGGACCCCTGGACATGATGGCACCTCGACTCAGGCCGGTAAGGGCCCCTCCCTTGGAGGCGACGTGTCATTCCAATTTGTCCTGTTTTGTCTAGGGGGTTGAGGGAATGGACAGGGATATCCCCAAGGGAGGCTTCTGGAGCACTGACTGTGTGTTCCCTACAGATGCGTCCACCGCCTCCCCCACCAGCTAAAGCCCCGGATCCTGGCCACCCAGATCCCCTCACCTGAAGCCAGGGGATTGCTGTCCCCCAGTGATGCTGCTGTCCCTATTTCCATGATGTCAGAGACCACCCTCTCAATGATCTGAAGTGACAAAGCCAAAAGCCGGAGTCTTCCCCATTTCTACTCTCACCTCGGGGAGTAGAAACTTTCCTTCTCTCCCTTTCTAGGGCTGGAACTCACTTCCCCCCACCCCTTACTGTCCTCCTGCTATCTCTAGGGCTGGAACTCTGCCTTTTTCTTCTGCCACCACCCCATCTCTTGGGGGGTAAAATATCCTGAAATCTCTGGGGCTGGAAACCATTCTCCAAAGTCTTGAGTTGCTCCAGCCCATCTGTGTCTCCACCCTGGCTCTGTGACCCACCCCACTCCAGATGCCATGGCCACTGGGGTTGAGGGCTAGGACAGGAGCAAGCCTGTCAAAAGGAGCTGGAGCCAGTATGCAAAACAGCTGTAATGGTCTGAGCAGATTTATTGACAGTGAATAAAGGGCACTAAGCCCAAGCCAGGGCCTGGGCCTCTTGTGCCAAGAGGGCAGGGGGCCTATGGTGCTATTGCTTTAGGGGCCCACCAAGGGCAGGGGCCTGCTCCCAGCTGCCACGCTCTAGCAAATGGAGCTAGGTGATGGGGAAGGGGTCAGGCGGCCTGTTGGCAGGCAGGGGAAGTGAAAGAGACTGAGGGACGGGGGTCCCTCAGCCTGAGACCATGCAACTCCAGGTGGAAGTAGAGCTGGTTCCTCAGCTGGGGATAGTGCTGTCCAGTGAAGAGGAGGGCCTTCATGCCCACCCACCCCTGGCCCTGCCAGCTGGTATTCCATCAGCACAATGAAGAAGGAGGCTTGAAGGAGAGGAAGGGTAACAGTGTTGTTTCCTATTCAAGCTGTGTCTCAGCTTTTTCCCAGGGGCTACAGGACCTTCCCTATCTCCTGGGGCACATGCCCACTCCCCACCACTAAACCAAAGAATGTGTAGCAAAGGCCAACCCTGGGAGTGCAGAGAGCCAATGGGCTTAGGTAGTTTAAGTAGAGGGTGGGAGGATGAGATTATATGACTTTGGGCCCAGGCAGACTCACCTCACACACCCCCTGTGCCTCTTGGTGGGGACACCTATGAGAGAGAAATGGTCAATAATGGGAGAACAGGATGTGGGTCATATCAGTGACACCTCCCCCCACAACCCAGGGTAGAAGGCAATAAGAGCTAAGCCCACCATAGCCCTGCCCATGTCTTCATACCTGGTGATCTGTGGTGTCCAGTTTGCTTGGCTGTCCAACTGCCTCTCGACTGGCCAGTCCTGGGCTTGGGCCCTTCCCTCCAGCCCCTAGCATTGGCTCTGCAGAGGCTCTAGGGTTGCCCTCAAGTGTACAAGGGACTAAGCTACTGTCTCTGAGTCCTCCATTCTGCACTGAGGGACTGGCATGGGCCAGGGGCTGTGGCCTCTCAGGGGGCAGGCTCTCAATGGCAGGTGTCCCTGCCCTGGGCTGCCCTCCCCCAGACCCCTGACTACCCCCTATGTCCTGCCCTCCACCAGACCCCCAGCTCCTGTCCGTGGGAGAGCCATCACGATGCTCATGTAGTCCATAGCGCTTCTCTATGTGTGTCACCCGGAACCTGGGAAGGGAGAGAACACTGGGGCTTAGGACCACAACTCAGAGGCTGCTTGGCTTCCCTTCAGCTAGGGGCATCCTGGGTTTCATAGCTACTTCCTTCTAGCCAAGGGCAGGGGAGACCTCCCCAGATTGTGGGGCATATTGCATAGCCTGACTACTGCTGTAGTTCACAGTCTAGGAGAACAGAGCTGGGGACCATCTTTGGAATCAGGTGCCTGATCACGGGGGCTCCCACCTCAAACCCCCTTTCCCTGGGGCTTTCTATCCCACCTGCCCACAGAGAACACAGTGGTCTCCCCAGGCCGGGGGCGGCTCTTTCCTTCCTTGGAGCGTCCCTGACGGACAAGTGGGGGCCTCTTGTTGCGGCTACAGTGGATACAAGGGGCAGCAGACCCCAGATGCACTGTGTGATGATGGGAAGGGGCTCCGTCCTGCAGGCTGGAGGTAGCATCCATGCTGGACAATAGGGAAGAGGGGAGCAGGAGTGACATTACCATTTCCTTTCCTGTTCCATTTGCTCCTGTCCTTTGTGCTTCTTAAAACATCAGATGCCTCACTTTCCCCAGGCCCCAACACTCTGTATTTATCTAATAAATGCAATATTGAGATGTTAGTGATCATGTGTTCTCCTTCCCAGGGTCGTTTGCTATAAAGCGGGCAATGTTTAACCCAAAAGAGTAGCACAAGGGATGAATGTTAGGCTTGATGATATCCAGATGGGAAGTATAATTTGAAGGAACTCAGATTCCTACAAAACTTCTTCCTTCCTATAGGTTAGTCAGCTTTGCTTTCCCCCTGCCCAAACATGCGAAGATATTGGGAAAGGATTGTGCTGGAGGAGAGGGTACTCTCCAAAGCAAGCTAAGTCATGCTGGCCCTTGTTTCCAGCTCACCTGGACAGCTGCACTGTCCCTTCTCCTTCACTGTCCCCCAGCATCTCCTTCAAGGCCTCAGCATTGGCTGGGAGGAGAAGAAAGAGGGAGTCAGTGGAGGTGGAGGTCAGGGCAAGAGAAAGTTGAGTGAGGACTGGGGAGGGGTGTGGGGCTGGGAGAGCAAAGGGCCAGCCTACACCCACCTTCATTTTGGATGATGCAGCGAACAATCCTCTCTACTGTGTCCTCATTCATGTCATCGTCCTCAGCTGAAGGATGAGAGGTTGGCAAGGAAGCAGGAAATGAGTCAGCTTTGGGTGGACATTACCTGGTGGCTTCTGTGGCTTATTGCTCAAGACCTATCCCTTTGTCTGTTTGCCATCATGCTGCATGTTAGGATTTCAGGAGTCAGGGCAGTAAAGATGGGAAAATAAGTGGGAGCCCAAGACAACCAACAATGGGCCCTTCCCACCCATCCTGCCTTTTCTAGCCTTGCTTTCAGGATGGTGTCATCCCACTTGCAGACTCAAGAAAGCATCATTAAGCCTCCCTGAACGCATGGTAAGAGTTTGGCCTGGGTCTCTTGGCCAGGAAGGCAGAAGGAGGTGTGAGGTGAAGGGTATGGGAGAAAGGTGACTGAGCCAGGTTCTGGGTTCTTCACTCACGGGGCTGGAGCTGGGCATCATCAGGCTCCGAGCCCCTCGACGTGCGGCAGCGGTAGCCCTTCTTCTTGAGCACGTGGCAGATCATGAAGCCTACAAGGCCCATGAGGAAGAAGACCAGCACAAGCAGGAAGAGCATGTACAGCCCATGTTGGGGCGGCTCCAGGTTAGGCTGTGGTTCCGACATGAGGCCCTGGGGGGCGAGCGCGGGCCAGGGCGCCTTGTGGGGTTAGGGGGCTGTAGCTAGGGACGGGGGGAGGGATAGGAAATCGGTCCTCAGGACCCAAAACCAGCAAGCCTCGGAGGTCCGGCCCCACCCCCCTACCCAACCAAGGAGCTGTCCGTGTCACGGGTGCTGGTCCGGGGCAGGGGTGCCAGAAGGCGGCTGCGCAAGCCCTCTTCCACGACCCTGATCCTGCTTCCCAGACGCCCAGAGCGTTCCCCTTTCCAGCTTGTCCTGCGCTTCCGTCCCTTCCAAGGACACTGCAGAGAGAGATGGGACGGAATTCTCCGGCGGTCGGCTCAAGAATCGTGCTTGAGTCAGCGTCCGCACCTCCTCCGCGCCGGCCTGAGCCAGGCCTCTGCAACCCCCTCCCCTGCCTGTATTCCCGCACAACGCCACCCCTTTGGGTTCCTCCCATCCAGACCACCTGGCCCACTCGGTACCGGTGGTTTGGTTCTGGCTCCGGCTCCAGATCGGGTTCCTGTTCCAGGGGCGTCCTAGTCCGGCTCGGGGCCCCCGACGCCCTCCCGGTGCTCATCCCTTGCTTCCTCCCCCTCCCCCCTTCGCCGCCTCACCGGCTCCGGGCTGCGGCTGCAGATACCGGTGCCGCGGCAGGCGGGGGGAGGGAAGGATGAAGAGGGATGCGGGCTGGTTGGGAGCGGCGACAGGCTTCGGACAACTCCGACTGTGGGAAGGGGAAGGAGATGGGGTGGGGGTGGGGGCGCCGCCGCAGCCGCCCTAGGTTCCCAAATGCTTTCGCCAGTCGCTAGCCCAGGACTAGGGGGCGGAGCGCAGGTGTGCGGGGCGGAGAGCGAGAGCCTTGCGCGCTTTTGAGCGCAAATGTGGTGCGCGCGTGACTGCGCCGCCCCCTCCCCCTCCTCGGGGGGAGTGTGCGGCGCCGAGTCTGGGTCCGGGTGGGGAGGACAGGCAGTCAGACGAGAGTGCTCTCCACAAGTCTATCCGGCACTCCTGGCGCGGCTCCTGCCCTCAGATGCCTCAGCCGAGTGGATAGCCGGGAATCTTCCCAGTGGGCCGGGAAAAGCTGGCTTTCTGCACCCGAGAGGGACGGAGTGGCTGGTTCTCCGGAGTCTCCTAGGCTGGTGACCACGGCCTGAGCCCCGTTTGGGGCAGGTGACTGGACTAGATGTCTCAGCTTCCCGAGGATTTGGCCCCCGCCGGGAAGGAAATGACCCTAGCATCCTAGGACCTATGCTACGCGTCCTCCGCAAAGCCCAGGCGCTCACGCTCCAGAACCTAGAAGGGCGAACCAAGCGAGGGGCGGAACTCCGCAGGGGGCGTGGCCAGGAGGCGGGTCGTGGGTTTCCCGGTTCCGCAGAGGCAGGCTGCGTGCTTGCGCAGCACGTACGAGCGGGGGTGGGGCAGGCGGCCAGGCGGGCTGCAGTAGCGCGGGGCCTGGTCCCGCCGGCACCATGGCCAAGACCGTGGCCTATTTCTACGACCCTGACGTGGGCAACTTCCACTACGGTGAGGGAACAAGGTTGTACGCGAGGGATTTCTGGACGCGGAAGTCACGAGGAGGGGGCTACAACTCCAGCGACGGGAACTGACGAACTCTCTTCTCCCACCCGCAGGGGCAGGGCACCCTATGAAGCCCCATCGCTTGGCATTGACCCATAGTCTGGTCCTGCACTACGGTCTCTATAAGAAAATGATCGTGAGTCCTAGCATCGCTGCTGTGTTTTGAGGGTGGGGTCGAGCTGGGCGGCTCTAGGATAGGTGGGCTGCACTGAAAGCACAGTGTGCGACCTGCCTTTGGGGTGGGGAGGAGGCTGGATTGCCGGAGTTAGGAGCACCAGCGGTAAGCAGTGTTGGTGGGTGGATCCACCGACTTCATGGGAGTTACTTTATCACCTTAGGTCGCTAACCTTTGACCTCAGGTGAACCAACCTCTGCCCTATGGTGAGGGTGGAGTGGGGCCGGTTTAAAGGCAGATGTTTTCCTCCCCACCATCTTGGGGTGTAGGCAGTCCTGTGGCTTTAAGAAAGAGAGAGGGGCTGGATCACTATATCTGGATGTAAAGCGTTCCCACCTCTTCTCCCCCACCTCTCTGCGCCTCCAAGGAGCTAGAGCTCCAGAGAGGACTCTGCAGGCCTGTGTGCAAATATGTATATATGTGTGGAAGAGAGCAGATGTCCTGGGTATTTCCTTATCAACTTAGAATGCCTGCATACAGTTCTATTTAATTGCTACCCAATCCTCTTGTCTCCCAGATATGCACTTGGGACAGATAATCTCCAGCTTGGAATTTATAGTTGTGATAGGCGATTGTAACAGTTAGGTTTAGCCCTCTTGGGTCACAAGGGGAATTAGACAACAGTACCAATGAGTGTTCCTCTCTGTTTGTGCTGTCAAATGGTTATAGAAAAGACTGAGGTGATGTTAGTGCACGATTCTATGAATCCTTTGAAGTTGTTTGCTGGTATATACCTGTGTGCATTTTCTGGGGAGAGAACCTTTTTGTTCTTGCCCAGTTTCTAAAGAACTGCATGAATCCCTCAAAAGCTAACTAATCTCTGGCTTAATACCTTGGCACCTTGATTTTTAATTAGAAGGTTGTCACAAATCCCAAATTACTTAACTCCAAAATTAAGAACTCTGAGGAGAGAGGGCGGAATCAGAGCCAAGGGGAGGAGATGAGTATGGAAAGAATAAAAAATAGGAGCTCGAAAGAACAGCGCAGGTGGATCAGGGCTCAGGGTTGATAAGGTGGGAAAGATTGGGCTGAAAGTGGGAAGAAGGCAAGTCAGCTGGTCTTTAGGAGGCTTGATCTTAGTACCCCAGCTGGCTAATCAGAGCCTCTCATCTTTGCTGATGTTTGCTTCTTATAATAACAAGGATTGAAGGGGTGAGGGGACCACTGCCGTGTGTTGTTTTGGACAGTCTGCGAGTCTGGGGTCAGTGTGGGGAGTCTAATCCCAATGAATGAGACTGACCTTGCCTCGGTTCACCTTATGTTTTCCATCCCGAGGTCTTCAAGCCATACCAGGCTTCCCAGCATGATATGTGCCGCTTTCACTCTGAGGACTACATCGACTTCTTGCAGAGAGTCAGCCCCACCAATATGCAAGGCTTCACCAAGAGCCTTAATGCCTTCAACGTGGGCGACGACTGGTGAGGGGAGGCCTGGGATTTTTAATGCCAGCCATTTCGAGGAGAATGCTTGAATGAGGTCTCCTGGCAGCAGTGGGAATTATGAAGGGGGTCGTATTTGCCAGTGAAGCATCATTTACTCGTTTGTTTTTTCAACAAATATTTATTGGTTGTTTGCTTTAGGCCAGGCCCTGTGCTAAGTAGTGGCAGTGCAATAAGACACACCAAGAAAATTTTGATATTATAGTTGTGCTAAGTCCTGTGAAGGAGAGGTATGTGGCCAACTGTGAGTGTGTATACTTGGGAGAATTAACCATTTTGGGTATGAGATGGTCAGTGGAGGCTTCCTAGAGGAAGTAATGGAGATTAAGCTGAGATCTGAATAAAGAGTAGGAAGTAATTAGGTGAAAGGTGGCTGGGAGGACAGAGGGGAGGGCAGGAATGTCAGTGGGTATAGGAATAATGTGTTGAGGGTCTGTACAAGGTTGGTATGTCATTTGAGAAACAGAAAAAAGATCAACCACAGTTAATGAAGAAAAGAGTGATCTGAATCAAGGCTAAAGAGATGCTCAAGGCCTCTGAATAGTAAATATTATGAATTGAGGCTCTTACCCCTAGAGTGGAGGGAAATTATCAAAGTGTTTTAAAAGCAAGAGAGTGATTTTCACAGAGAGAGGTTTACATTGAGCTTTTCATACAAAGAAGATTCAGAGTTAGCTCCTTTGGGGAAGGCAGTGGATAACAAAGATAAGCCATGATCCCTGCTTACATTCTTGTATATATTCATGAAAATGTAGTGATTATAATAGCTCCCATTTACTCAATTTATTTTTAAACTTTTTATTAGGAAAATTTCAAACATTTCTGAAAGACTAGTACTGTAAATTTCTGTATATCCATCACCACCTGCAACACTTATAAACAAATGGCCAGTCTTACTTCACCTACCTCCCAGATCATTTTAAACCAGATCTAACATTTTTGAAACTGTAAATACTTTATTGTGTATCTCCAAATGATAGTCTTAAAAAAGAACCATACACACTTGAGTGCCTGGGAGGCTCATTCGGTTGAGCATCCAACTCTTATTATTAGCTCAAGTCATGATCCCAAGGTCTTGGTATCAAGTCCCATGTCGGGCTCTGCATTGAGCATGGAGGCTGCTTCAGATTCTCTCTCTGCCTCTCTCCCATGCTCGTGTGTGCTCTCTTTCATGCTGTCTCTCTCTCTCACTCTAAAAATTAAAAACAAAAGAAAACAAAACCTGCCAATACACATTATCATTATCACTCCTTAACAGTAATTCCTTAATATCATTATATATGCAGTCAGTATTCTGATTTTTCCAACTGTCTCCTAAACTTTTCTTTTTTTGCAGTTGATTGTATTTGGTTAATACATCTCTTAAGACTTTTAAACTGTAGTGTTTTCCTCTGTACTTTGAATTTATTTCTTGCGGAAACCAGGCTGTTAATTTGTAGTGTCCTACAATAGCCACTATTTATTGAATGCTTACTCTGCTATTCTCACGTTTGCCGGTACATCCACTTAATTCTCACATCAACAGTGAGATGTTATAGTCTTTTCCCTTAAGTTAGGCATAAGGAGACCACAATTTGAGATTTACATAAGTAGCCTAAGGCACAAAACTGGTCAGTGGAAATGGCAGGATTCAGATCCAGAGCCCAGGTTTTAAATACTTAAGTGTTCCCCAAAAGGTCGTGCCAACAGAAACACTGAGCTGGAAGATAGAAACCAACTCCTTATGCTGGCATTTAGCACCTTCCCAGGCTTATCCTTACGCCCCTGCTTCCATTGAATTCCTTCCTGGAATTGTTCCTCTTTCAACCTCTCCAAGGCCTTCCTGGTCTTCATACAGCTATGAAGCCTCATACCACGAAGCCTTTCTTAACCACACCAGGTGCAAAGTTCTGTCCTGTACACACTGCCCTGGTCATTTGGTGTTTGATCTATGCTGTCCTGGGAGCTTCCTTGGTTTTTTGTTATTGCTGCTGCTGTTGTCTCCGAGCTCACTTTATACGTGTCTGACAGAATGCAGTCACCCTCAGGCCACAGCTAGGGCTGTAACCGCTCCCTGTGTAGTTAGGGAATACTACCACTGGGCCCTTTGCACTGCGGTGGTTGTTCTCTTAAACTTGAGCTACAGTCCCATTTATGTGTGTATTTCAGATAAGAATCAGGGATTTTCACTTTTAATTAATTTCTGATTGTTTTCAAAGTGATCTACTATAAAAAGCCTAATTATACTGCAAGGCTTTTTTTTATGGTTTATTTATTTTTGAGACAGAGAGACAGAAACAGAGACAGAGCACAGTGGGGGAGAGGCAGAGAGAGAGGGAGACACAGAATCTGAAACAGGCTCCAGGCTCTGAGCTGTCGGCACAGAACCGAACGCGGGCCTTGAATGGAAGAACTGTGAGATCATGACCTGAGCCGAAGTCAGACGCTTAACCGACTGAACCACCGAGGTGCCCCTGCAAGGCTTTTAATGTGGGGAGAAAAAAGCAGTCCCAAATCTATCCCTCACATCCACAGATCCCTCTCCCCAGTGGCAGCCACTTTCAGGTCCTTAGCTATTTCTTCTGATATTTACCTTTGAATTTAAAAGAACTGATTCTAATCTACTATTGTTCCTAATAATCTATAATAAATAATGCCTACTTTGTATCAGGTACTTTTTGTTTTTTACATTTATTTCTTTTTTGAGAGACAGAGCACAAGTGGGGGAGGCCAGAGAGAGAGAGGGAGAAACAGAATCCAAAGCAGGCTCCAGGCTCTCAGCTGTCAGCACAGAGCCCGACATGGGGCTCAAACTCAAACGGTTGAGATCATGACCTGAGCCGAAGTTGGATGCTTAACCAACTGAGCCACCCAGGCACCCCTGTCAGGTACTTTAAATGCTTCACAGGCTTCAGCTCATTTAATCTCATCAATCTCTGTGAACCAGGGCCTGCTATTGTCTCCTTTTTACAGGTTAGGACACTGAAGCACAGAAACTTTATTTTTTAAATTTAATTAATTAATTAATTTAGAGGAGGAAAGAAAGCAGAACGTTACATAAGTAGGGGAGGGGCAGAGATAGAAGGAGAAAGAGAGTGAAATCATGACCTGAGCTGAAATCAAATCAAGAATCAGAGGGGCACCTGGGTGGCTCAATCAGTTGAGCTTCCGACTTCAGCTCAGGTCATGATCTTGCAGTTTGTGAGTTCGAGTGCCACATCAGGCTCTGTGCTGATAGCTCAGAGCCTGGAGCCTGCTTCGGATTCTGTGTCTCCCTCTCTCTCTGCTCCTCCCCCGCTGGTGCTCTGTCTGTCTCTGTCTCTCAAAAATAAATAAATAAACGTTATAAAAAAAATTAAAAGAAAAAAAATCAAGAGTCAGGTACTTAACTGTTGGAGCCATCCAGGCGCCTCAGGCACAGAAACTTTAAACGGCTTGCCCAATCTCATGATCATTACTAAGTGTTAAAGAGCCAAAGTTTGAACCTAGGTAATCTGGCTCCAGAATCTGGTCTCTTAAATCACGCTACCATATTACACTGCCTGTCATAATATGCTTATATTGCTATTTCTTCACTTTTCAACTTCAGGTGTTTTCTCTTAAACTCTTAGTATGGGAAATGAGAATTTAGTCTCCTCATACCATCACCCTGGCTTCCCCTCTCCTCCCAGCTTCACAATATAGTTATATCACTATTTTTATTAAATAAGTATTCTATGTTTACATCGTTATAACTTTGAAAAATTCATTTACCAGAGAGTGAAATAGTATAGCAGTTTAATCTTTCTATTTGTACACCTTATTGTTTTTCCAGGGGTCGATGATGGCATTGTTTCTTCATTTGCTCAGTTTTCTAGGTATCAGTTGTGAATTCTTCCCAGAACCTTTGAGAAATTATAAAACTCCATACACTTCTTATTTTCGTAGTCAAATGTATCAGATGAACAATTAGTTTTTGAGAACTAAAACTAGGGAATCTTTTTTTTAATTTTTAAAAAATGTTTGTTTATTTTTCAGAGGGGAGGGCAGAGAGAAAGGGAGACAGAATCCAAAGCAGGCTCCATGCTCTGAGCAAGCTGTCAGCACAGAGCCTGATGCAGAGCCCAAAGTTACAAACTGCAAGATCATGACCTGAGCTAAGGTCGGACGCTTAACCAATTGAACCACCCAGGTGCCCCCAAAACTAGGGCTCTTTTAAGCCTTTCCTTTTTCATAAGTCAACTTTATGAAGGTAAATTTGCATACAGTAAAATTCACTTTTTTTTTAAAAGTTGGTTTATTTATTTTGAGAGCGAGCGAGCAGGGGAATGGCAGAGAGAAAGAATCCCAGGCAGGCTCTGTGCTGTCAGCACGGAGCCTGATGTGGGGCTTGGTCACCCAAATTGTGAGATTATGACCTGAGCAGAAATCAAGAGTTGGACACTTAACTGAGCCACCCACGCACCCTAAAATTCACCCTTTTTAGGTTTGTAGTTTCGAGAGTTTTAACAATATGTATCAAGGTGTAGATTATTTCCATTATTCCACAAAGGGCCCCTGTATTCTTTTACAATCAATCTCTTCTTTCCAGCTTAGCTGCAGGCAACTACTGATCTGTGGTCTGTCCCTATATTTTGCCTTTTTTAGAGTGTTATATAAATGGAGCCATATAGTATATAATCTTTTGTATCTGATTTTAAGCTTCTCCTTTTTATGAAAAAAAAAAAAAAAAAAAGGATGGTAATCATTATAACTAACATTTATCAACTTACCGAGTACTAGGTACCACACACTTTGTTAAAGGCTTTCTGTGGATTATCCTTATTACTTTTTCAGGCCTATGAGAATAAATACAGCTTTTTCTTAAAAATGTGTAATTCCAAAGAATATTATTGAATATTGTGTTAAAATATGATACGCATAAAAGGATCTTTTAAGAATAGCAAAGTTTAGGGGCGCCCAGGTGGCTTAGTCGGTTAAGTGTCCGACTTTCGCTTAGGTCATGATCTCGCAGTTCGTGGGTTCGAGCCCTGCGTCCAGCTCTGTGCTGACTGCCAGCTCAGAGCCTGGAGCCTGCTTCAGTCTGTGACTCCCTCTCTCTCTGACCCTCCCCTGCTCATGCTGTCTCTCTCTCTCTCTCCTAGAAATAAATTAAAAAAAAAAAAAAAAGAATAGCAAAGTTTATATTCTCTCTCAATTTATTTCCTTTTTGGTGTGTTGCTTAAGTACCTAGAAGCTGCCTACTTTTCTCCCCAACCAGGATACAAACTCCCTGACAGAGTTAAATGTGTTTTTACTTCCCATCCAATGGCTTGCACAGGGCTTGGTACACGGCTTGGTCCAAAATATTTGTTGAATAAATTTGCACATAACTTGGGTGCATGGGGGGGTGGGGAGAAGTTTATTAAAGAATGGAGGTTGGAGGGGTTTGGAATCAGGGGAGAGGTGTAGGAAGGGTCTGGATGGAGGTAAAGGGCTGTGACTTGCTTCTCTTCCCTGCAGCCCAGTGTTTCCCGGGCTCTTTGAGTTCTGTTCCCGTTACACAGGCGCATCTTTACAAGGAGCAACCCAGCTGAACAACAAGGTGACCATGGCCCTGAGTCCTGTTCTCCCTATCCTGTGGGTCCTTATGCTCAACCTCAACCTGAACCTGAGCTTCCAGCTTTGGGGATGGGCAAGGAGGACTGTGAGTTGGGTGTGTTTGTCTTTCAGATCTGTGATATTGCCATTAACTGGGCTGGTGGTCTGCACCATGCCAAGAAATTTGAGGTGAGTGAAGAGATGATGGGGGAGACAATGACTGCCCTAGGGTAGGTGGTCAGGATGACAGTAGGGGGCAGCTGGGTAGAGGAATCGTTCCTTTCTTTGTAAGACCACTGTCTCACTATAGGCCTCTGGCTTCTGCTATGTCAATGACATTGTGATTGGCATCCTGGAGCTGCTCAAGTAAGTAGCCTGGGAGGAGCTGGAGGGACTTGTGAGACCTGTGGCTGAGGAGGTCTCTCAGACTGCCCTGGCCCTGACCCTGGCCTCCACCCCCATACTAGCTTCTCCACAGTTCGTAATGCTTTACTCAGACTTCCTCCTCTGTGTGATGGTGCAAACTCCCTGCTGCCTGCTCACATTTCAGTCTTCTCTGCACATCCCTCTCCTGTCCCTGCCTCCAGGCTGGAGCCCCAGGGTTGCCCTTAGGGAACTGGTGGCATTAGGTTTCAGGTGACTTGGGCTGAAGCAGACTCTTCATAATTCCAGACCTTGTTTTGGGAGGAGTGCGTCGGGCGGTTTTCTTGCTGGGGTTCCACTCTACCTCAGACCCTGGCTTGGCCCTCATTCCAGGTACCACCCTCGGGTGCTCTACATTGATATTGACATCCACCACGGTGATGGAGTTCAGGAAGCCTTCTACCTCACTGACCGGGTCATGACAGTCTCCTTCCACAAATACGGAAACTACTTCTTTCCTGGCACAGGTATGGGAATAGGGATGACCGTCCTCTTTGCTCCCTCAGCTCTCTACCATGATGGCCTCCTGCTCAACCTTCAGGTCTTGGCTCAGGTGCCCTCTCCTCGGAGAAGTCTCTCCTGACCACCACAGTTAAAAGTAACCCCTCCTTCCCCTCTACTCTGTCACATCCCCGTGCTTGCCTCTCTCAGAGCACTCACTGCTATTTGTATTTGTTGCGATGTTTTGTTTTGTTCACTGTCTCCCTCCTCATCATGCCCACCTGCCAAGAATATAAGCTTGGTGGGGTTTCATTCATTTCATTAGTTCTCTTTACTGCTAGATCCCCAGCACCTAGTACACAGGTTGGCTCATAGTAGGCCCTCAAATATTATTTGTTGAATGAATGCAAGCCACAAGAGGCGAAGTGGCTCTAGGGAGAATGTGGTAGAGGGACATAGATGTAGTGAGAGACCCTCAGGGTACAGGCTGGGGTTGAAGCAGCTGGGTTGTGAGTGCCCTCTGTGGGTGGCTCCCATCTCCTACTCTCCGCTTCCCTATAGGTGACATGTATGAAGTTGGAGCAGAGAGTGGCCGCTACTACTGTCTTAATGTGCCCTTGCGGGATGGCATTGATGACCAGAGTAAGTATTGAAGTCTTTTCCCTGCACACTAGACCTCTTCTTTCTCTCCTTGAATTAACCTCTTCTGCCTGGTATTGTCTGCTATTGGGCCAGGTGTCCTTAAGGATGAATGGCCTTCAGAGGGACCATGAACCCCCCCGGAAATTGTATGCAACATGTCATGTGTAGGTGCATTTTTCTGGGAAAAGGGTCATTAGCTTTCATCAGTCACTCAAAGGGGTCTGGGACCCCATTCAGAAGTTCAGAACCAATGATTTGGTTCTTAGGGCTGCCCCTTTTCCTGGGCTACATGCTCTCTCAACCCCCTTTTTCCTTTTGTTCCCTGTCTCCCCATCCCCTTGGGGTGCCAGGTGCCCATCTTTGGCCCTCTCCCAGGTTACAAGCACCTTTTCCAGCCGGTTATCAACCAGGTGGTGGACTTCTACCAACCCACATGCATTGTGCTCCAGGTAATACTGTCCATGCCTCCTCAAGAGGGCTCTACCTGGGCTTCGGGGAAGAGAGCAGGGAGGAGGGGAGCCCTGGCATTGGTCAGGGAAGGGAAGTGAAGAACATCTGGGACATTCTGATCGGTTATCTCACTGCAGCTGCCTGGGGTTTTGCTTTTTGCAGTGTGGAGCTGACTCTCTGGGCTGTGATCGCCTGGGTTGCTTCAACCTCAGCATTCGAGGGCATGGGTGAGATTTGTTTTCCTTCCCCGCCCCCAGGTTTTCAAGTGTCTTTGGGCCTCAGTACATGAAGTGAGGGTAGGTGGCAAATGGGCCATAGGAAGAATAGGGAGAGTCACTCCCAAGCAGTGAGAAGGGCCCATGCAGAGGCATGAGACAGGGAAGAACTGGTGTAGCGGAGGAGATGAAGTCACAGCAGTGAGGCAAGAACACAGAGAGCAAGCTGGAGGCGGTTTGACTTGAGGCCTGAGAAGTTAGCAGTGACAAGGTTTTACAGAGCCCTTACCTCCTGGTAAGGAGTCTGGATTGTATTTCAGATATGATGGGAAACTGCTGGAAGATCTTTAAACAGGGAAGTGACATGATCCAAGTCAGGTTTGAAAGCGACTGCTCTGATTGCTGAATGGAGAAAGGATTGGGTGGGGGTCAGGGACAGGAGCAGAGGTGGAAAGACCAGCTAGGAAGCTGTTGTCCGGGCAGCAAATGCGGTGCTTGAGTTTAGGCGGAGAAGGTGCCCAATGAGCCATACGTGATTGGAGTTCTATTTTGGAGGCTAGAACTGACAGCAGTTTCTGGGGCATTGATGAGAATAGTTGATTAACAGATGGGGTGCCAGGGTGGGTGTTGAGCAGGATGGAGGTGGGAGTGCACTTTGTTTTTTAAATTTTCATTGAGATAAAACATGTATATACTAAAGTACACATATCTCAAGAGTATAAGTCAATGAATTTCACTACCTAGATCAAGATACGGAACTTTCTCGGGGGCACTTGGGTGGCTTAGTCAGTTAATTAAGTGTCCTACTTTGGCTCGGGTTATGATCTCATGGTTTGTGAGTTTAAGCCCCACATGAGGCTCTGTGCTGACAGCTCAGAGCCTGGAGCCGGATTTGGATTCTGTGTCTCCCTGTCTCTATGTCCCTCCCCACTCACTCTCTGTCTCTCTCTGGCTCTCAAAAATGAATAAATGTTAAAAAAATTAAAAGAAGATAAGTAACATTTTCTAGTTCCCTTGTACTCCTTCCACACGATAGCTAGAGATGTACATTTTGACTTTTTGAGAACTTCTTCCAGCCATTCCTCTGGTTCCTTTTAACAGGGAATGTGTCGAATATGTCAAGAGCTTCAATATCCCTCTTCTGGTGCTAGGTGGTGGTGGCTATACTGTCCGAAATGTTGCCCGTTGCTGGTAAGCATACTTCCTGATTTTCTTCCTCCCCCTTGTCCACTGTGAGTTTGGGGCTCCCTGAGAGGTGGCCAGGTGGCCCTGCAGCCCACTTGCTCAGCTGAGCCCAGTCTGCTATTTGGTTTCAGGACATATGAAACATCGCTGCTGGTAGAAGAGGCCATTAGTGAGGAGCTTCCCTATAGCGGTAAGGACCACCCCATGATACCCCATAGCAGGAAGCCATTCTCAGAAGACCCCTGAACGGCCTGGTTTGAAGGCAGATGGGAATTTTTTTTTCTTATTATTACAGATAGGCAATTTGACACTCGAGGAGCTCTGCATACTGAACTCCTGAGCAGGGAAAAGATTGGACAGCTAATTTGCAGGGGGTTTTGATGGGAAGGATATAGGTTGGGGGATCTCAGGACCTGCTTGTCTCTGTCTGAGCCATGCCTTTTCTCCTCATCTCCCTTTCCCTGCTTAGAATACTTCGAGTACTTTGCCCCAGACTTCACGCTCCATCCAGATGTCAGCACCCGCATCGAGAATCAGAATTCACGCCAGGTCAGCAACGTGGAGAGGCTGAACACAAGGTTGGGGGCCGCCCAGGAGAGGTCCAGGATGAAATCAGAGAAATGAGAGAAGAGACGAAAGTTCTTAGTTGTCACTATAACTCTTATCAGCTGGTAGGCAGCTCGAGTTCCAGTAAAGGCAGTTGGGGTCAGGAGGAGGGATGGTTATCAGGTGGGGACTTGAACTAGTATTCAGAAAGGGATTAGAACTAGGAGTAGGGGTGAAAGGCAGCTAGAAGAGTGGGTGCTCTGGGAATCAATCACTCTTTATTCCAAATCCCCAACCAGTATCTGGACCAGATCCGCCAGACAATCTTTGAAAACCTGAAGATGCTGAACCATGCACCTAGTGTCCAGATTCATGATGTGCCTGCAGACCTCCTGACCTATGACAGGACTGACGAGGCTGATGCAGAAGAGAGGGGTCCTGAGGAGAACTATAGCAGGTCTGGGGCAGTGACTTGACAGCAGGGGCTTCCAACAGGCGTGTTGGGGAAGTTAAGAGTGAAAAAGTAAATTAGAAGGCATTAGCTTAATCGTTTCTGGCTTAGCTCCATTAGTATGCTTACTTTTTGGTCTGTTGCAATTCCACACTCTCATTTTTGTGTGTGGGTGTGCCACAAATAAGTAATTTATTGCCAGAATTTTAAGCAACACCAAAATACGTTGCATTCACACAATCCCAGACCAGTTCCACAAAGTGACCACTGTTAATAGTTTGATTTATATCTTTTCAGTTAGACCTTTTCCAGTAGATTATAAGTATACTACTCAACATGCAAATATGAACCCAAACACACATACACACTCCTTCTCAGAGTTTGTGGCATCTTTTGTTATTAAATGCAAGTTGGATTCTTCTATATAGGTTACTATACAATTTACAACTGTTCTTTTTTTTTTAACAGAAGAGTCTATCTTTCCATGTGATTATTTATACATCTGCTTCATTATTTTTTGACTGTATAATACTCCATTGTGTTGATGTAGCATAATCTAACCAAGTACCATTGATGGCATTTATATTATTTCCCATTTATTTTTACCATCACAAAGAATATGGTGATGCACCCTCTCATACACATATACATCTTTGCCTGCTTATTTGAGTGGGCTTTGTGCACTAAACTTTATATTTGCTGCCAAATTGCCTTCCAAAAAATCTGTAATGGTTTATAATCTTCCCAGCATTTTACATGCTTCTTCCAAGTTCAAAGCTGTACAGGATTGCTTACATACTCTCTAAGACCCTTTGATTTCTTTCCTCTGTTCATTTTTTCAGGTGTGATAATTATGTTTTTTTAAAAGTCTTTCTGAGATATATACTAAAATATTTACAGATGTGTTAGGGGAAAGAAGAGATGAGGATAGAGCTTTTTTTTTTTTTAATCTAAATCCCAGAATAGGCTTTTCTGAAAAATGGAGGGAAAAGACAGCAGAACCCAGAAATGCAGAAACGGATGCACTTAATGGAGAACAGATATCCTTACGTGACTGAGGGATAACCACAGCTGGATACTCACACCTCCTACGCAGTGTGAGAGGTTTGAGCTGGCCCTGAGTCTGATTGACCCTTCTCAGTCCCTTCCATAATCTGCTTCTCTGTCTTAGAGGTCAGCTTCCAGATCTCTCCTTTAGACCTGGGCTTTACTGTTGGACCTTCAGGACGGCTTCCCTCCTCCTCCATGAACATCACCTTATCCCCACTCCTGGTTGAGGAAGTATCTGAACCTCTGGCCTAAGGATTCCTTTTTAATGTATCACCTCCTTGTCAATTTCTCCAGGTCTCTGAAGCTTGACTTGTAGAATTGATTTTCTTAAAAACTTGCTTTGAAGTTACTCCTTTTGGCAAAGTTTGGCTTTTTCATCTCTGGTTCTAAAGGCTCTTATCCGGGCCTAGTCTCTATATAATACTACCCCCTCTCAACAGCCAGCAGAAGCCTCAGGCCTCTTCCTGCCCTAAGCCCTACCTCACTGTGAGACCCCTCAGCGAGTTCCTGTTCTTTGATGCCTATAGTTTCAGCTTGCATAGCACTCGCAGAATTGTAATAGGATGACTACTTTTTGTGGGTTTGCTAAACATCAGACTCAATACTAAGTGCTTTATATTAAAACATATGTATCACCATTGTCATCGTTCTTCTGTCATCAGACAACCCTAAGAGGTGGCTGTTACGCTCAAATTACCAGAGGAGGAATCTGAGGCTCAGAGAGGTTAAGTAATTTGCCAAAGGTCCTATATCTAATTAAATATCACGACTGAGAGTCAAACCTGAGTCTCTGACCCCACATCTTTAACCCTTATGTACTCAGAGGTAGCTGAGACATTGCTTACCAGGAAGAGAGGGCCTTTCTTGACTTTGTTCTCCGGCTTCTCTGTGACAACTTTCTCCCTTCTCGCTTGCTTATCAGCTGTGGACAAGGTAATTCAGTTTTCAGTTATTCATGTTCTCCCAGAGAGTAGTTTTCCAAAAAGAAAGAAACCAGTATTGAGTACTTAACTGGGCCCTGTGTTGCTTTCCCTTCCCTTTCCTCACTCTCGTGCTTACACCTCTCCTTTCCATTGCTTTTAGAACAAAATCCCATTCTTTGATCATGGCTTTAGAAAGCCCTGCGTGCTGGTGTTTGCCTGTTTCCGTGGTCTCATCTGTAACTGCTCTCCTCCCTGCACGCTGCTCCCAGCTGTCCTAGCCTTCGTGCTCATACTGGAATACAGCAATCACCCTCCACCTGATAACACTGTACTTGGTTTTCTGGCAGCTTGAAATGAGCTTCCTCAGATCTTTGCCTGGCCATCTCCTTCTCAGACTTGAAGCCTTACTTTTCAGCTGTCTCTAATAATTCTGCCTGAACTTTACTCTTTTTTTCCCATTCATTCTCTGTCAGATCCCTTTATTTCCTTCTTTTCAGAGCACTTTCCACCATGGGAAATTATCATCTTTATTTGCTTACTTTTTAGTTGTTGTCGCTCTTGTTTATAAGTTTTTTAAGGATAGGCAGAAATTGTATCGAACTTCTCGTCTGCTGTATTGCTGTGGCTTATGATGGTGGCTGGCACAGAGTAGTCTCTCATTAAATGTTTATTGACTACATGGATGGGTGGAATGGATCACTACCAGTCTCTGCCAACAGGAGAGGAGTGGTTCCTTGACAAAAGGGGCCTAAGACTTGGCTCCAGAGAGGGTGCCAGTGTCGGGGAAGATGAGAACTTGGGGAATAGAACTCTGACCTCTCTCCCTTGCTTTGCAGGCCAGAGGCACCCAATGAATTCTATGATGGAGACCATGACAATGACAAGGAAAGTGACGTGGAGATTTAAGAGCAGCTGGGCTTGTTATATCCCAAGGAATTCCTTTTTACCTCTTGTTTGGGCAGGAGGAAAAAGGTGTGGCGCCCACAGCCCTGGATGGTCACCTTCAGAGCTTTTACCAGTGCTGGAGGAGGGTTTAGAGACCACACCTGGTTTTTGAACCAACTATCCCCTTTACTCTGTTTCCCAAGGCCTGACAATGGTACTGATTAGGGATTGGATTGGGGACAAGGATAGCTTCCCCTAGGACATCTTGGGCAATGGGCCCTAGAGGCCGGTCCCAGCCACTTTGGCCCCCTTGTTCCTTCCCTGTTTCCCTCCAACCCAGAGACTTTTAGGGATGAAGGTGTTAGACAGGAGTGAAGTTACCTCTGACTTCCTCCTTTCGTGGTTTCTCCTACAACAAGCCTTGTTTTCAGTGCAGGTGAAGAGTCAGGGATTTTAGAGGGCTCTGGCTCTCTAACAACCTTAACCCCAGATGATGGGAAATATGGTTTCGAATCCGGGGAGGATGTGAAAATGTCCCTTTCTAACTTTTGGCTTTATGTCCATTTTACCACTGTTTTTATCCAATAAACCAAGTTGGTATTTTTTGTACCTTTTGCTTCCTGGGAATATTTTTAATTCTAGCTAGCTGCCTATGTGTGAAGGGAAAAGATATGGGGGTCATAATGTATATCATAAAAATCAAAGTTAACATTTATTCAACACTTATGGTAGGTCCTGTGTGTGCATTCTACGTGGATTATGTTACTCATATATAGGGAGTTGATAGAGCATTCTTGTTAAGAGTTAGACAAACCTGACCAATTACTAGTTTAAGAGAGGGAGAAGATGACTCCAGCTTTTTGAACCTGGGTGTTTGGGATGGTAATGCTATTTGGTGAAGATACACTGAGATAAAGCCTCAAGTGCTTAGCATGGTACCTGACATAGTGGTTGCTTATATTAACTGTCTTGGTGAGCATGATGCTAGATACCATAGTAGTCACAAATGTGGACCCTTCCCTGGCATTCACAATCCAGTAAGAAGTTAGGTAAATAGTACAGCAGATGTAGACAGTGGTATGAGAAAGAAGAGTGATAGATGGATCATTCCTTCCATGCTTTGATACTGTCAGTGCTTTGGCTTAGAAAATAATATCCCAAGCCCTAGGCTGAACACTGGGGTCTCAGAGTTCCCTCCAGGAGCATATATTTGAAATCTTTTGTCAGCTGTGGGTAAGATAATTTAGTCCATACTTTGAGGGCCTACTGGGGGCCACATACTTTTCACAGGAGGAACAGATGTAGCTAGGAGAATGGATGAGATCACTGAGGGAGAAATCAAGCTGGGTGAGCAAAGAACATACTCTTGGAGAACACCTGCTCTTTTCACTCAGGATTGGTTTTTGTCAATAGGGTATCCTGGTCAAACATAGGATTTCCCAGACTAATCTGGGTTTAATTTTTTTTTTTTTTTTTATCATTTATATGTCCTTGGGCAAGTCACTTTAACTCTCAAAAGTCGCAAATTTTCTCTCTGTAAAATGTTTTATTTTTATTTTTGAGAGAGAGAGCATGAGGAGGGGAGGGTCAGAGAGGGAGACACAGAATCTGAAGACAGGCTCCATATCTGTAAAATGATGAGACAAGTGGAGTTTGTCACATGGCAATGCCAGGATTCAGTTAGGAAAAACATGGAGAGTTTTGCATAGTGTCTGGTTTAGAGCAAATGCATGGTAAATAGTAACTATTATCACTGACTAGTCACCTGTTGGCAATAACTAGTTTCTCAGAATAAAAAACACCACTAGGAAATAGCAGACCTGCGATTCATAACTAGGTAATCTAACCCCAGGGCTAGTTGTGTTCAGGTCTAGCACTTGCTCTGGGCCATGCTCTGTTCCAGGCACATAGCTTTGAATAAATGCGGTCACTTTTAAATTTTTTCATGGGCTCCACTGATACTGCACACATAAAAACTGTATTATCCTTGAAAGACCCACACTGGGTTTTCGGCCAAGATGACACTCTCTTACTTGATTTTTTGGTTCAGATAATATCTTGGTCTAGGGTGTGAGAGAGTGTAGGCTTTACAGCCACGTGGGCATTGCGTGGGAGCGCGTAGGCCTGCGCCACTCCGACCGCCAGGTGGCGCCATTCCTTGTTGAGGCCGCAGAGTTTCACCGCCCACTCACCACTATCCCCCCCCACGTGGGTCCGAATGGTTAGGTCCGCCAGGCAGGTAGCTTGCTTCCGCGCCTTCCCTCCACCCCCTCCCTTCCCTCATTGGTAGGAGCTGCGGGTCCGGGCGGAAGTGGGGCAGGCGGGCGGGAGCGAGGCGTCGCCGTTGTATATTCATGAGGCGCGCGCAACCCGGCATACTAATGAGGTGGGGCGCGGCGGCGGGCTGAGGAGCAAGCTGCTGGGCGGCGGCGGCGGGTCGGGAGCTACCCGGCGGGAGCGGCGTAGGCGCGGGGTCATCTGCCAGCGCGAACCTGGACATGGAGCCGCTCGGCGGGAGCCAAGGTCCTGGCCGCGGGACCCGGGACAAGAAGAAGGGCCGGAGCCCGGATGAACTGCCTGCGGCGGGCGGCGACGGCGGCAAATCCAAGAAATTTGTGAGTGTCCCTCCCACCCGGTTCCTTCAGCCTAGCCCGGTAACCGCCCTCCGGTCCCCGGCGACCCCCGCAGCTGGCCCCAGCAGTGCACGCGGGTCTCTCGGGAGCCGCCCCCGCGCCTCCCTTCCTCCGTTTGCTGGGTAGTGGGCTCCACAGCCGGACATCCTACTCCTCCGGGACCTCGGGAATCCCCGGAGTCCCACCCGGCTCTTGCCCCGGCAGCCTGGGGGCTTCCTTCACCCCCTCAGCCCGCACGCTCTGCCCTCCGCCCCCATAGCCCCGCGAGTCTTAGCCCCATCTCTTCCTTCTCAGCCCCACTTCCTTTCTTCTTTCTCTGTTACCCGCACACGCCTTCCTATCTTGTCCTCTGTGTTTTACTGGGTCCATTTTTTATTACCCTCCCCCCCCCCTTTTTTTTTGGTATCCTCTTATTTGCTTCTCTTAAAGGTCACTTCCTTCTCAAGATTGATCCCTTTCACCTGCTAACTTTCCTCCCTCCTGGCCCCGGCTCTGGGCCCTCAGCCCGGTGTCACCTGATAATCCTTCCCCTCTGGAATGTTACCTGACTTGGGCTCTACCTTCCCTCCCCCTTGGACGTTTGTCCTTGTGATTGCAGGAATGGGTTCCTGCCCAGGTCCTATGGTCATTGGACGTGCCGTTAATTTACTTCCCAGTATTCCTCCGTCCGGAGAACCTGCCTCTTTGCCCTGTTGCTTAATCACTTTTAAGGGGGTTAGAACTTCTCTCATGATGATGTCCTTCTTGACTTAGGATGGTGAATAAAACCTTAGGAGGAAGTTTGGCTGCAAGTCCAAGAAGTTTCTGAGTAATTGAATTGCTTTTTATATGTTTCCCATGAAAACCATCTCAACTCTTCTGCCTCCTCCTGTGTGACAGGCTAGTGACATCCCTTTTCCTACCTGTACAAGAGTATAGTTGTCCTCAGGTGCCAGTGACTCCCAATCCGAGTTAGAAGGAATATTGATATTCATGTAACATTATCATATTTCATTACCTTTGCCCACACTAAATCTTTTTTACTCCTGTCTCCAGGGAGCTATTTGTTTGCCTTTTACTGTAAAAGCTTTGAAAGATATGAGGCACTATCCAAGAGAGGGAAATAGTCTTGGATCTTAAAAATCGTTTGCTAGTTGTAACTGTACTTATTTATTATCTAGTCTTTTCTTCCAGGTAATTATGCCCCCACCATGATATCTCTTCCTCCTAACCAAATGGATTCTGACTCTCTGCTCTTTCTCTTTTCTCTTATCCCCAACCTTGAGTATTCTGACCCAACTCCACAAATTTGAGAAGAAAACTTATAAAATGACGGAAACAGGAAGAAAATGTTGCTTTGGGATCTAGAGGATTGAGATGTGGAGAGTACTAAGCAGAATTAAAATAGTGACTCATCTCTTCCTACCTATTTCTAGCAAAGCAGGTGCTTCTGGACTGTCCTTTCCAGTGACTTATGGGCTGTCAGTAACTGCGTTTTGCTTTTGTTAAATCTGGTGAACATCTTTTTTTCCAGAAATGTCGAATTAATGGTAGTGAGGACCCTCCGCCTGTGATGATTAAAGAAACATTTCCTTATGTTTGTTTAGGGTAGGAACTGACCCTCTAGTTAGAGAGTTTTCCTTCTAAGAATTAAGTTCTAGGGCCAGTAATCCTTTTTTTAAATTATATTTATATCTGTTACTGTCGTTTTGCTTCTGTTTCCATGGGTGCTATTTGACCTTCCTCACCCAAATTCCAGCTATTCCTGCTGATATATAGTGAACTCTGTGGCTTGTAAATGTTTTTCAGGTCCTTAAATAGAATTTTATTTGTGCTTTTTTTTTTTTTAAATCTAATACTTAAGTGTTTCGCAGGTGAAGTGAAGTGGAGATACCTGAGGAAACTTAACGTTTTTCACCTGTGTTTTGGAATGTCCATGGAGTCTTGTGTATGCTGGGTTGACTTGGCTCCTAGTTTTTGGTATTTGCTTTATAGAGGGTGGAGCCAAACCAAGTTCTCTTTTTCTTTCCGAGGTGTTGGTGTTAACTCTTAAGCTGCTGAATTAAAAAAAAAAAAAAAAAAAAGTATAGCACAGGTTGTGAGAATTGCATTCAGAGCTAGGGGATTGGAAAGTTTCCAGAAAAATAGTGCTACTTAACCCCTTTCTTGCCGACTGTAAGCTACCTCAAGGCATCAGAATATTCTCTCCTTGTTCTTTTTATGAGAACTCTGTGGCAGTGAGAGACCAGGAGAGGCATTGCAATCCCCTTGTCTTTGCGTCTGTGTGTATGTGTGGGTGGATGGAGGGGGGGAAAGAGTGCGGGTGTGCTTTTGTTACCCATGGCTTAGGTTTTTGAACTACAAGCTAGAAGAGCTGTTTTGCCTGCTCCACCTTTGCGAGAGTGTGTGTCCTCGGGAATTCCATTAAGAATGTTGTTTTGAAAACTGCCCTGGTGTGGACTTAGAGTGCCTGGAAGTTATCTATTTGCATTTGAGGAGTTTCTCATCTCTTTAGCTGCTACATACCTTTCCAGGCTTAAGGTATGTACAGATCAACTGAATGGAAGGCAGAGCTCACATATTAGCAAAGATAGATTCTTACCTAACCCTGAGGCATCTTGGATGGAAAGCACATGGAGTCAAAGTTTAAAAAGTGGTTGGGAATCACCTTTTAAAAACATTTGGTTGATAGAGATGCTGATATTTGTGGCTGAAGCCGGGCTGCCTGGTATTCCCCCTTGATTTCTCAGGAGTCTTTCTCCTCCTGGGCCATAAGTATATGGCCATTCTCCAGCATTGTGGCAGTTCCTTCCAGAGGTCCTTAGGGTGAAGGAAAATAAAAATACAAAATGAACAGAACGTTTTCTGATTTTTCAACAGTGATGAATGTGGGTGTCAAATAAACTGCTGGCTGAAATCTGTGTAAAGGTAGCAATTACAACCAGGGTGTTGGAGCCTGCAGAGTATTCCTGCATTTTCTAAACTCCATATCTTACA